TCTTGTTATTTCCTACTGTTTTGGTGGTGATTCCTGTGTCGGTACCCATTTTCCTGTATGCGCAAGTCAAGTACTGTTGCCACTAGCTATACGGCTATACGGCAGCTGGCTACAATGGCTGAATTGACAATATTCGGTTGTGCGTGTATTCGTCATAAGGATCCAATGCGAGGTAACCGAGCGCAGCGAGCAAAGTCGAACCTGAGTGTGTTCGGTACTGTTGCCACTGTCACTGATCGATGAACTCTACTGTAACTGGCTATGATGGCTGGATAGACAATGTTCGGTTGTGTATGTATTCGTCAAAAGGATCCAATGCAAGGTACCGGTAAGGGAGTGTAGCCAGTAAAACGGAACCTGAGTGTGTTCGGTACTGTTGCCACTATCACCGATTGATGTAACTCTACGGTAACTGGCTACAATGGCTGGATTGACAATATTCTGTTGTGCATGTATTCGTCAAAAGGATCCAATGCGAGGTACCGGTAACCGTAGTGAGCAAAGCCGAACTTTCGATACTGTTGCCACTGTCGTCGATGTAGCTATACCGCAGCCGGCTACAATGGGTGGATTCATAATGTTCGGTTGTGCATGTAGTCTATTCGTTATAAGGATCCAATGCAAGATACCGGCAACGGAGTGTAGCCTGCGAAATGGAACCTGAGTGTGTTCGGTACTGTTGACACTGTCGCCGATGTAACTGTACGGTAGCCGACTACAATGGCTGTATTAACAATAGTCGGTTTTGTGCATGTATTCGTCATAAGGATCCAATGCGAGGTAACCGAGTGCAGCGAGCAAAGCGGAACCTGAGTGTGTTCGGTACTGTTGCCACTGTCACCGATTGATGTAACTCTACGGTAACTGGCTATAATGGCTGGATTGACAATATTCTGTTGTGCATGCATTCGTCAAAAGGATCCAATGCGAGGTACCGGTAACCGTAGTGAGCAAAGCCGAACTTTCGGTACTGTTGCCACTGTCGTCGATGTAGCTATACCGCAGCCGGCTACAATGGGTGGATTCATAATGTTCGGTTGTGCATGTAGTCTATTCGTCATAAGGATCCAATGCAAGATACCGGCAACGGAGTGTAGCCTGCAAAACGGAACGTGAGTGTGTTCGGTACTGTTGACACTGTCGCCGATGTAACTGTACGGTAGCCGACTACAATGGCTGTATTAACAATAGTCGGTTTTGTGCATGTATTCGTCATAAGGATCCAATGCGAGGTAACCGAGTGCAGCGAGCAAAGCGGAACCTGAGTGTGTTCGGTACTGTTGCCACTGTCACTGATCGATGAACTCTACTGTAACTGGCTACGATGGCTGGATTGACAATGTTCGGTTGTGCATGTATTCGTCATAAGGATCCAATGCAAGGTACTGGTAACGGAGTGTAGCCAGTAAAGCGGAACCTGAGTGTGTTCGGTACTGTTGCCACTGTCATGGATCGATGTATCTCTCTGCCTGGCTATAATGGCTGGATTGCATCTATTCGTCATATGGAGCCAGCAAACTGAGGAAACAGGAGACCAACCCTGAAAAAAGCCGAATACATGTACGTTACCCTTCCTGGCAAAATTGACTTGACTCGACTCAACTCGACTGTCACTCCACATAGCAAGAGCTCTTTCACGCAGAGGACAACCGGCCCAAACTATTACCAGTACCATCTAATATCTACTACATGTTCGTTGAATTAATCAGACAAAGTGCCCAAATGAGTGACGAAACCAACCCTGAGCTCTCTCCTGCAGTTTTTCACACCATTCCATTGCCATTTGGAGACGATGATGATGACGACGATGACGACGAGAAGACATTCACCAAGACAGCTGAGGAGGGAAGTAAAACCGAGCTCTCCAGCACCACCGGTGTACTTGAAAATGCTATTCAAGATTGTTTTCAAATAGCCATCAGAAACCATGATGCTAAGTCCGTGGAAGAAGTTGAGAAGGCTGTGTGGCATTGGAATCCTTCAGCATCCAATGATGATGAAACACCCCTGGATTTTGAAACAGAAAAACATGCCCTACAAACGTGGGTTCCTCGTCCACTTTTTCTTCCTTCGTGGGCCGCAAATAATCAGGGAGTAAGCAAGTAGTGCTAGATTTCAACGGGAGGCTGGTTGCGCTCAGTTTATTATTAAAAATGAATCAAAATCCCGCTTTTGATACATGTAGCTAATGTTTCCAACATCCCGGTATGGTACGATGTACCGATGAAAATCGACCGATACTACATGCATTCTAAACTGGTACCTATATATTAGCTATACCCCTGACATCGAAACAGCCGCCGAAAGAATTCGTAAAACAAAAAGAAGAACCCATTTGCAGGAATCTTGTGCATCAGCCGAGGCCAGCTGCCTCTGAGAAATGCCATACCACCTCCTTCCTTCCACGTATCGACAAAGCACTTGGAGATACTGCCTCCATACATTTCAGGCGGAGCCGTTTGGAGCCTTGTTTTGATCACATCCAAAGGGTTGGTCACCCAGCTCCCAATACCACCCGATATGGCACCCAAGACCATGTCCGAACTAGCCTGAGCAGATGCTGCTAATTGTTGCTGCTGAGATGCTTGCCAGGATTGTAAATGTTCGTAAATCAACAACGTAACAACGGCATAGGGGATGTCCCTTGCCATTTGGATGAGAATCGATCCTTTGGGGAAAATCATTTCCCAGGACGTCACCGCTCTTACCGCCTCCCACGTGTTTCGGTATGTATTGGTTTGCAATTTTTGCTTTAGAACTTCGTACGGGACACGGGAAAACGACGCCAATGTATTGCCCATGGCAGCTGCTAATCCCACAGCAAGTGTCTTATGAAGGGTATAGGTAGTCCCATCTGCTCGGGTTCGTGGGGCAGAGAGTGCCTTTTTGAAATAGGAATATGTCCCAAAGTAGAGTGCGACAGATGGCATGGCACCAACCACAGATACTCCCAACCCGGCCTATAGAAGAGCAATGAATGCAGACAGCTAGATGAGCCAGAGATGCAAGAAAAACAAGAGGTGCCTACCGAAGCTGCACGTATAGCTGTTGGTGGATTGCGCAGAGAACCAAATCTCTCTTACATAAAAGTTCGAGAATCCACCCGGCCGTTGCATGATTTGTCGTGCAGCTTGAGTCAGTGTCAGAGAAGCCACATCCGGCGATGTTTGATGATACTGCTGTAGGGTCTTGATCGTATCAAAAGGCGCCAGGATGATCTTTGAAAAAGCTGCCGCCAATGCACTGGCCATGCTATTTTTCAAACCATCGACCCAAGCAGCAGAGTCTGGTTGCTTGGTACTCCCGCCGCCCCGAACAAGAAATGGCTCCAGGTCATCATCACCACAATCAGTGGTCGCGACTTGGTCTCTGCCCGTGTCATCATCCTCCCTAATGAACCGATCTTTTGCTGATGACGGTCTCAGACTCTTGAAATGATCTGGAATTGGCGATCTTCTCTTGCTCTTGCCATGCAGAGTTGTCAGAGGAGAGGCATTGGACACAGCAATGGCTTGGACACCAATTCTAGCGTGGCCGATAGCCAATATCAAGCAAGAGGCGTAGCCCCACAGGAAGATCATTCTCGATCCTGAGCACGAAATGCTGGTTTTTCGACTGTGGGCCAGCTGGGTACTAGTAGTGGCAGGGCGACTAGCTAGCTGGTAGGGATAGATTGACAACACTGCACTACCACAGCTGTATGGTAGATTCGGAGAGAGTATTTGGCTTGGTAGGAGTGTAGATCGCGATGATAACCACAGCGTCCGTTGCTTGATGATGGATGCAATGACGTCTTTCTCGATTTTGCTATAAGCCAGCAAGGTGGAGTGAAGTCTATCTACCGGTAGGCCAGGGAGACAGGCACCGAAGATTCCAAACAACAACACAAACGGGGCCGGCCGGAGAGCAATAGAAAAGTTTTCAAAAGGAGTCTTTAGGTCTTTAGTGGTAATGCTACCCTGCGTCGTAGGTCTACTCCGGACCTGCATCCTGACGAGGTAGTCCGCAATACTTGGTCAATTTTTGCCATGGGAAACCAGACGAAAATTAGAACGTGACAAAACGTACCGGTAGCATTGTTGCCCTGTAGGTGGCTGGTGTTAGCCATTCTCGTCCGCTGTCTCAACTTTTGAAGGCACGCAGTCGGTTGCTTGTGAAAAGTGCGTCAAAAAATACCTTCCAATTGGATCTGAACGAGCGATAAGGGCTGGCGGCATGCTGCGCTTCGTGTCTTCTTCAGGTGTCCGAAAGCGCTGGCAAGCTAGTATCTCTTTGAACCACTTTTGGCGTTACCAATTCGTTTCCAACCCTCAGATCCTAGACCACCTTGTGCCACATTGTCCAAACGTTCCTTGGCAACAGTACTTGAACCAAGCGCTGTAGGTATTGCAACCTAACAAGAAGGCCAGTGGAGTCGTGGTGAGAGAAAACATCAAATGTTCAGAGAAAGAAGACATACAGACATACCGTGAACAGTTTCTCCAACAAGAAGAACACAATATCCAATGCTCGTAAAAGCAAGTTTACGATAATGTTGTTCTCCTTCTCCTGTGCTGCGGCAACAGCATTCATTTCATCTTCATCAAGGTCTGTAGCTACAACTTGTCTCGTTTCACCCACAGCCGCGTCGAAATCATCATCAGTGACGACCTCTACAGCCCCGTAGCTTGCATCCTTCCCTTGCTCACTTTGTGTTCCTCCTGGGATGTCTGTAGCCGTCGCAAACGCGTACACAAATGCTTCCGGCATGACATCGACAATTTCAGGCTCAATCGTGACTGGAGTTGCCGCTGGAGACGCTTCCGTGGTGCTCTCACTTTGCACAGTTTCCGCTGGCTCAACTACATCCTGGAAAGACACATCGAACGATCGTTCATCATCTTTTTCCTCATTGTTGCTGTCTTGCGGTTGTTCAGCCTTGGCCAAGTCCGAGATGATTCGCTGCAAGTCGTGTTGAATTTCATCCAGCCTCAACATGACTGGGATCAAGTTGTCACCAGTGTTGTCACGCCCCTCTTCAAACAAGTTCTGTTCCAAGGCTTGCGAGGCACCCAATGACACAGCCCGTTTGGCATGATCCTTAATATCCTCCACGTTCTCTCTTATCAATACGAATTGCGACAAAATGGCCTGAATGGTGGCTTCGTTGCCCTCCTCTTCATCCTTACCCCTGCTGGTGCTGCTGAATCCTTGCCCTTTGATAAGTTCCTTGACTTGATTCCGGGTCGCAATCAGCTCCGAAACGACCTGTTTGATCATGGCTTGATCAAAGTCCCGCAACCCTTCAATCACATCTGCTTTCAGCCACGTTTGTTCCGGGTTGACAATGCAATTTTGGATTTGATCTTTCAGGCAAAAGCATTCTGTTTGTAGTTCCGATTGAATGGCCAAGAGTTGTTGTCTGCGCTCCATTTTCTCTTGTTGCTTGTGCAGCCGTTGTAGTTCTTGTCGTTCAGCGGCTTGCCACTCGGCTCGTTTTCTGGCTTCTTCGAGGCGTTTAGCATACACTGGATCGTCTTGCACTTGTTGCTGTTCTTCCTCCTGGAAAATTACCTCTTCCTTTTCAATGGCTTGGACATCAATGGCATTGACATCCATAATTGTATTGCTGCTGCTGCTATCCTCCTCGTTTGTATCTTCTTTGACCGGTTCTGGGGATACAGTTGTTGCATTCGCCGCTGCAGCCAATTCCCGTTGTTCTCGAACTTTGGCCCGCTCCAGTCTCCATGTTTCTTGAGCACCCTGCAAGAGCTGTTTGGTCGAATCTTTGGCCGCTTCCAAAGCAGTTTGTACCTTTTTGGTTTTGTATCCTGGAGCATTGGATTCAACCTCCAATTCTCGTTTCAACTGCCAGGCTGTGTCAACGACACTCGATGCGGCTTGTTGTGTCACCTTGGCTGGATTCTTTTGTGCATCCGCCTTTTCTTGAGCCCGTTGATAGGTTCGTTGAAAATTGCGTTTGTCTTGTCGGGAGGTGGCGGCTGTTCGAAGAGTCGATGCCGAAGTGGTGCCATCCGTGCCTCCCGACTTGAGAATTTCTGCCACGGCCGTTCCGACACTTTTGAGTTCGTCCATGGGTGTTGTCATTTCATCGACCGAGCTCTTTTCGGAGAGTAGAAATGATTTTTTGTCCTCTCTCCCGGCCGCCGTGGAGTTTCCTGCCGCAGGCAATGCCCGTCCTACATCTCGAACCACTCGTTCCCAGGCAAAGAGTCCCAATGCCGCCAATGTCATGGCATCTCGTTCGATTCGATTAACGACAAATAGTTTGGCCGATTCGAGCCAATCTTCCGCCTTGCGTGAGACAGCTTGCCACAACTTGGTGTCACTGAACGTCTTGAGCACTTCACTACTAAATTCGGAATCATCATCTGTCTCCTTTTTCGGTGCTTGTGGAACATCCTTGCTAACGACACCTCGTTCCAGCAATTTTTTCATGCTCTCTTCTGTTTTTAGATTCAATTTCTCACTGTCTTGAAGGAGACTCTGCAGCACTCGAGCATCCATTTCACTCAATTTTTCTTCCTCTTTCTTCTTCTGCTGTTTTTGGTCGTTGCTGTCCTTTTCTACAAAAGTAAACAGCCGCACAGGATTTCTGCCACCCCTCCTCCTCTTGTTGTTATTAGCAACCACAGGAAAAGAGTCACCACGAGCAATGTACCTGCCAGTATCTCTGATAAAAGGAGTCTGGAAGGCTTTCAGGAGAAGGACATGACTTCCCAATAGCACTAGTAGCGTCCACCCCAACTTCCTCATCTTGATGGTTGTCATTAAATAATATACCGGTAGACGGAACCAATGGAGGCGTTAAGGTCCTTCTTCAGGGGTCAAATCTTTGTGATCAATTGAACTGAGCACACACACACTGCCAGTGGTAACTAATAATAGTCTCTACGGTGCAACAACGTCAACTAGCTACCTGGTAGCAGACTGATGAATACCCTCGAGGCGGTGCAATGGAAGATCCTCGATTGGTTGAAAACAATTTTCTGTGGAGGTGCCAAAGTGCCAACCAAAACGGTCGTGAAGGTGTCAAAGACGCGTGCGTTTTGCTCCGACTAGTACGACTGTAGAGGGATTGGTTTCATTCGATTCAATCTTCGATTTGATTAGAATAAGCTAGCTAGTCAGTCGACAAAGCTCAGATCTTTGGATTTTCTCAAAGAACTTCCCGTGATTTCTCAATTGGTTTCAGGCAGACATGGGAGCTTTACTGTATGCACCACAATCTATCAGAAACAACCACGGATTGTGGTTACTAGTAGTAGGGCTTTCAAAAATGTTACACTATAGAATCGGAGAGGATGGTTATTATTGAATTGCAATCTTTGCCGGATGAATCGAATCGAATCAATCAGCCCTGTGTTCCAGTACCGTAGCGCTGGATACTAGAAACGTTTCTCATCGCGGTCACCTCGGAAAGACGTCGTTCTTCCCTTCAATGCATCATCAAAGCCATCAATCTTCAAAATTTCTAAGGGCTGGCTTCAAACGGAATAATCCCCACGCATTAGTTTGTGCCATTTGGCAGGGTGCGGTCATGTTGTCCGTAAAATATACCTCATCACAGTCGTTTGGCAGACTTCGGAACACCCTCAGGATAGACGGTACGATGACACCTTGGCAAAGGGCGACAAGTGCATTGCAAGCGGCCAACCGGCCGTGCCACCGCCTTCGGTTGGCACAAGGCTTCAAGATATCGTAGATCCACAAAGGGAGTAGGGAACAATCGTGCATCAAATCGAGAACTTGATCGTTGTCCGGCCTCAACAAAACAAATGCCAAGAACGAAACAATGGCCAAGCTCCAAGTTCCCACAGATAATGGTTCGCTAACTAGTCCATTGACAGCCAAAATGGGTGTAAGCGGTCCAAGAACCACTCGTACCTTTTGGTTCCATTGCCCTTTACCCCGTTTGAGTTGCGGAACCGAGAGAACTACACACAACATGGCTCCGATCTCGGCAGTAATCGAGTCCCCCCTGAAGCAAATGCATAAGAGAAGGGAGCAAAGGGAAAACTTGACTGCCGCATCCGTATCCGCATAGATGGAAACCTTGTCGTCTACCTTCAGTGCCAAGAACTGGTGCCACTGAAACTTTCGGTTGTAAAAGACGACGATCAGATGGCTTGTAAACGCAGCCAAAACGGTGCTACTCATTTCTTCTTGGACCACCACTAGCAACGAATGGAGCGATTGCATCATGGTGCATTCTTTTCGGTGACCTGCTGTGTAATCAAAATCTCACGTCATGTCAAATGAAATGGGGGAGTGAGCTTGAGATGAGTTTACGAGTTCCCAGGCCAAGATCCTTTCAGCGAATACGGGAATCCAGTTGCAGGACGTTGGTTGTGTGATAGGGATCTTGTCGTGGTCTTGCAGTGGAAGATCTTCTTCAGTTGAGTGAAATGGACACTTGACCAACTGTCAAGTGTGAAAATGGAAATTTCAAAGGCGTAGCTTTTGTACATGTACCGTACAGGTACGGCAGCCAAATCTTTCTACTAAGTACTGGTACGGTAGCTTGTCGCGTACCGTTACCGATAGCTATTGTTTGCTGTCAAAATTCCAACCTACTATTTGGTATCCAGTACACAATCGTACTCCATGATGGCCTGCTGATTGATGTCCTCTGCTAAACTGCGGCTGGATGCATGCGTCAGAGTCAAGTGAATTTAAAAAGCCTGATAGCCTCAATAAAAAGCCCACTCTATTTCTTAACTTTTTGCTTTTTGAAGGGACGTGCAGCGTCAGGAACCACCTCCTCAGTTTGCTCCACTTCTTCCTCCTCGCCCAGAACCAACTGGGCTTGATCACCTGTTCTGGTCTCGCCCTCTTCGACGACCCTGGCAAGCCACCCTCTTACACCTGGGTTGACTTGATGGTTCAGAGGGCACTGAGGTGACTTGAACCATTTTGCACAGTTGCCGTCCGGAGCCGAATTGCCCCATATTTCCTTTGCATGGGGTGCCCATGATTGTGTATTGAATCGATAGCAAGGATTGTTGGCTTCGGTCACTTCCAGGAGAGCACTGCCAACTCTGATTTTTGCACCTACAAACAGACCACTTGCATCTTTGCTGCCAACCGTCGTTGCAGTTGCAGGAGGACCATCAATCAAAATGTTCTCCCCTAGATCACCCCTTTCAACCTTGATTTTGCCAGTGTGGTCGAGAGCTTTTTGGAGCGTGTCGTAGGCTGACACAGTGCTTATGGAGACGGCTCGATCCATCGTTCCAGCCTCAAATTTCCGGGAATCCCCTTGCATGCGATAATGGTTGTAGTCTTGGATATTATACTTGGTGAAGAACAACCCTTTCGCAGTACCTTTGCAGCCGTCCTTGATTATTTCCAGCTTTTCGCATAATACCTTTTTTTGTTTGGACTTCATGGTTCCCCCTTGCTTTTTCCTCGTCTCTCGGTCTCGTGCTGCCAGGCGTACCACTCTCCAGGGAGGCGGATCGCTCTCTGCTTCTTCTCTATTGCGCTTAACCTTCATCGTGCTCGAAGGATGGTTCGTCGAGGCGACGATACCATCCATACATCTAACTACCTGGCTACCGTAGCTAGCTTTGGGCAATGGGCTTGTCGGTTCAAGACAGAGGCAAGCAGTTATGTTTAACCTCGGCAGGTAAACTGCCTGAGTTCTCAACCCCTTTAATGCTATTTCCTATTTCCTATTCATATGCCCCCTGGGTCGTCTCCGTTTCCATAAATCTTTTATTACCAACACCTAACTCCCTTTATTGAAACAGTATTCGCGCGCTCCGCGCGCTCATCCCTTTCAGCTTCGCCCCGAGCCTCGAAACTGCTCCCTCGTCATTCATGCAAAACATGTGAAGAACGCAAGGCGACTTTCATGTGCATGTACATGCGTTGACTGTATCCCGTCAATACAATACTAGTCGAATACGTAGACTTCTACAGAGGCCTCTAAGTAATGCACGCGGGGTATAATTCAAACCTCCACTCCCCAAAAGTACCCTTACCCCTAAAAGCAAATCGTCTCCGGGAGACGAAATTCCGGTGAAGCCAAAGTATAAGGATAGAGATAGTCATAAGCCAACAAAACTGAACATTGATGGTTCAATACAAGTTAGGGTAGGAATAAATCATAAATATTTAAGGTTAGTGCAATCATCACAACAGCACAATAAGCCAGCAGGAGCTGTAAAGGTTAGAATTACAATAAGGGAATGGCAGCTGGTAAATTATAGAGTAGCGGGCGGCAACACATGACGTAGTCGGGTGTTGTCGCCAGGGCTAGCTTAATAAAAAGAAGGTTGCAATGAGGGAATGAATGATTCCGGGCGGCAACACGCGACGTAGTCGGGTGTTGTCGCCAGGGCTAGCTTGAAAGATGGGTGCAATCCGAACATAATCCTCCTTCTTCTATCTGTCTTTCTGCCGAGGTATCGCAGATCCCGCTGACTTAAATAATGTTTTTGCATCCAAATTGAGTCCCACAAAAGCGACGCAGCGTCGCGACGCAGTGACGCAGCGACGTCGCAGCGACGTCGCTGCGTCGCTTTTGCGGGACTCAATTTAAATGAAACGGTTGATTTAAAATTGTAAAAATAGAATGGAGAGACCCTGAAACGCACGCGATGTTACTCGTATCACTCGTATCACTTGTATCACTTGTATCACTTGTATCACTCGTATAACATGTATAACATGTATAACACGTATAACACGTATAACACGAACGCCAGCCAGCCTCTGTGACCGTTCGAGTTTCGCAAAATGACTTGACTTCAACACCAACACCAACTCCAATCTCCACCATCCACCATGACAACAACCTCTCTTCTCTTGTTTGTTTGAAGGATACAAAGGTTTCTCTTGTTATTTGAAGATAGCACCATCATTGTGGGTAAGTAGGCAATGTGGTATGGCTTTGTTGAAGCCAAGAAGACACCTTGCTAAGAAAACACCTGGCAAAAAAACTTAGCAAAAATTCGTCGCTGTGTATTATACGTAAAATACGTACAACACATAATACATGTAATACGTCAAATACGTACAACACATAATACATGTAATACGTATAATATTGTTCCACTTGTGTTATCTGTGTTATACGTATAACTTGTCTAATACATATTAAAAATGTTATATGTGTAATACGTATGATCTGTAGAATACATAGTAAAAATATTATACGTATAATACAACCGCGTGCGTTTCAGGGGCTCTCACTTTTTATAAAACGAGTTACTTTTTAATACCGTACGGTACCAGTAGTTGTGTGGCTCCAATCACGAATACCGGTACTGGTAACTGGTAACTGCTGGTACGGTACTAGAGGGACGGACGTGTGCTTCGTAGCGATACTATCAATTACAGTATCGCGGTATACCGGACAAATAGTTCAAGTCAGCCACTGGTCCCACTCCAGGATCTAGCTACCTACCGGTAGTCTAAGTCCAACAGCTGGGCCAAGCCTTGACCTTGGCCCCATCCATGTCCACAAACTGCCCAAAGCTAACCTCTCAATCGTCGTGACGGTATCGGCACGGACAGAGAATAAGTAATTGACCTGTTAGTTAGTTGCTTTGAGCTTGCTTTTCTCGGCTCTACGCACCGTTGCCATTGCGGCTGCCGCATTGACCTGACATCTTCAGGCCCCTTTCTGGTCCCGGGCAAGCTGAACGGACACTACTCTCAGACCAACACCAGGTCAATCACGATGACCCACCCCTGGCCCCACTCCAGCTTCCACACCTGGAGGATCAACTCGGGGCCCTACAGCAGGGCGCACACCGCGACCACGCAAACGAAACCATCAAACTCCATTGCACCTCGACGCGTCTGCAATGATAAGGTTTGTACTGGCAGACATGCACGGTGGTAGTTTCATCGAGCGGCTGTCACGCGAGAATGGGCAGGACAATACTAGTACTCAGTATCCAGTAGAAGAGCTTATGAAAGATTGAAGTTTGTTTGATGTAAAACATGGTTCTCTAGAGGAGTATGTATGGATCTATTTTCTATGGGTATGTATGACGTTCAGGGAAGGTAGGAAATGAACTGCACCTCGCTCGCTTAAGCTGCTGGGGCGGTCCTGAATGGCTTGACAACAGCCGTGGCGAAGAACTGTTCAAAGAGCAAGATGTTGCTTTGCTGGCCAAGGTCGGCTACGACCATGACTTGGCTGCGCACTTGGTCGTAGCATTGATCAGCTTCCTTGATATCGCCCAGTTGAAGGTGAACATGTGCTTGATTGTTGGCGACAGCCAGGGCTTCCATGACGCCCAAGCTAAGGTTCTCGTTGCGAATCATGTTGGTGGCGAGCTTGTAGAATGCAAGGGCCTTGGTCAAGTGCTTGTTTGCCTTGCTGCTGCACACGCTGCTGGAGGCCAAGTGAAAGGCAAGGGCGAGGTTGAATACGAGTGCAAAGGACATCATTTTCAAAAGCTCTCCGGTGCGGCGGGTGGAAATTTGTCTTTTGGATTGGCGCTGCGCAATTCGAATGGGAGAGTCAAAGACGAAACTGTTGCTGGAGGTGGATTCATCTGTCTTTTGCATGGCGGAGGCTGTGAGTTTGAAGGCAAAGAACAGATTCTCTTCCAAAGAGGGGTTTTCGTTCTCCATGACAGCGATGGACTTTTTGAAGTGCGAGACAGCCTTGGAAAGCGACTTGATAGCACTCTCGAAGTTTTGTGCCTCCAGTTGCTGGATGCCTTCATTGTTGAGCTGCATCACGAGGGAAACAGATTGGCTGATGGCAGCGGCGCTGGTTGAGGTGGAGGAAGTAGACATGGTATCAGTTGTTGTTGTTGTGTTTAATGGAGCTGTTGTTGTTTTGGTCTTGCTAAGATTGTGAGATCAACGAGTTCAAAAGCAAAGAGATGAATGGTTTCGTGTTTTGTTAGAACCCAAAAGAACCACGTGAATAAGTAAGAATCACTGGTCTGAGCAGCTTTAAAATGCCATCCGCTGCTTTGAAAATTGCACGGAACCACCAGCTACCCAGGCATGTTCGCTGCGGTATGAATGAAAGTAAAGTCTTAAGTGATGAAAACAAAGGTTTCTGAGATGTGGAGGACACGAGGGTCTTTTTGGAGAAAAGAGAAAGGACTAATGAGAATTCGGTACCCTGTCAAGACTTTAAGCTTTAATAAGCTCCTTGCCGGAAGAGCACCTCAAGCACTAATGAGTCCCCTTTCAGGTAAAGAATTACTAACAAGAAAGCGGGAATCTAACTTCAATGTAATGTAATTTCTTCTTCTACCCAGCTTCAAGTTGAGGACTCTGCGCTTTAAGAGACCGTTGACTTCCGGGAGAAAATTCTTGCTGTTGTTAATCTTTGATGTCCACTGTTTTACTTCAGTTGCCAAATAAATATTACAGTAGTACTACTGTAACCAAAGATAAGAGAGCTCTTTAGTGTGCCATAGTGTCAGCTACGAGGACGTACTTGAGCTACCGATACTTGAGCTAGCTAGCTACTAGCCACTCGTAGTACCGTTAGCTAGCTAGGGTGGCTCGGCGCCGTACATAGCTACAATACCAGTTAGGGTGCTGGTACCAGGACGGTCCAGTACCACCGGTTGCCGAAGCAAAGCCGAGCCTGATAGTTTTAGTTATTAGTACGTTGCACCCTTGTTGAATGTATGCTGCGGAGTGCAGAGCTCCATCTCTGCATGGGGAACTTGATCCGGAACAGTGCTAGAAGATGGCTGCTTTCAATAATGCACACACCAAACTTCTCGGCAAACCGCATCGCCATCAAATTCTCTCGAATCTTGCCTCAAGAATCATCGCTCCTGCATCCTGCATCCACAGCTCATCCACCGTCTCGTTCATACCACCGAGAATGATTGGGGCGCTACTAGAGAAAGGGGCTTCTGAGGTCTGGACTGGAACTTTGGCTCGATTTCTTCACTCCACTGCTGTACCGGCACATGTGCTTGGCTCTCGACACTGCTTATAGGTGTCGCTCGTCCTGACGTTTTGACTGGCGAACCAACTGATCCACTACTGTACATACCACTCTCTTTCTTTAGTCGCGGGGAATTTGGAGGCCTGGGCTCCTGCCCAAAGGGAAATCGCGAAGTCGCAGAGCTACTGGTATTGGAATGGGATCATGACATGCTGGCTCATCTCTACTCTGTAGTCTACCATAGTACAACAGCTTGTACAACCTAAAGAATCTTTGTGATATGTTAGGTCTACACTGGTACCAGTGAGCTGGGCCCTGCTGAACGAGAGTAGGGGTACATCGCCCAGCATAAAGATCCTGTGTGATAAGTCAGGTCTACTCCGGTACGTTGGTACCAGTGAGCGGTGAGCTTTGCCCTGCTGTACGAGAGTACTACGGCGTCGTGCCGGTACTAGCTTGCTAGCAAAACCATTCACTCACTGCCTCACTACAGTAGATTGTTTTGTTCCACTTTGTCGGGGGGAAACCACACGGTTTATAGTCGTCTCTGCCTTCTACACTACATACACATCTCCATGCACAGCCAGTTGCCGTTCGCGTGGATCTCGGGAGCTACGGTTACAGACCGTAAGCGATGCAAACCTGCACCAGCAGCTAAGATGATACAACAGAAGGATCCTGGGTCCTGCTGGGTAGAAACTTACTAGATAATGATCTTGACAGTGTTGTATCTTCCTGCTGCCAATGCAAAGTAGTTCGAATCGTCCTTGGCATCTGGTAGGACTTCCAAAGCAAAGACGTAGCCCACATCGGTCAACGTTTTGGTTGCTTGTGCCTGAACCGACAACGAGGCAGCCTCGCCACTTTCAGAGACGTTCGGATCTAGTAACTGCGATCCTGACCAAAGCTGAAGGGTGGCATCCAGCTTCCCCCCACCGGTTACCAGGTCCCCGTTTGGCAATTGACACATGCAAATGACAGCGTCCTTCGTGTGCCCTGTCAAGGTCGATTGGATGCATGGATGTTGGTTTTCATGTACCTTGGAGATGTCCAAGATATGGACAGCCCGAGAAGTTTGGGTATGAAGAGGAAAGGCATCCTCGAGCTCAGAGGAATTGTCGGATACATCAGTCGAGACGGCTAGACGACCATTTTGTAGAGGCTCCATGCATACAACAGAGCAAGGAGAGGTCAACTGAAAGAGGCCAAGGTGTTGAAACTGAAGGCTGCCTGATGCCTCCTGTACCCCCCAAAGCCTCAATCCGCCACTGCTATCACCAGCAACCAATACTTTGGTGGAATGGTTGTCGTCTTGCCGTAACACTGCCAAACATGTGATTGGAGCCGATCTTTCTGGTCCTACGGGTGGCTCTAGAATTTGCGTTTGAAGCGTTGGTTTGGCTGCTGTCTCTCCCATTGAGTACCATACTTGAACACTCCGGGCAGATTTACCCAGTGATTCCTGTATGGCTCGTTCCTGGGCTTCAGTAAGGGCTCTTCTTTGCCTCTCCGTTTCGTTTTGAGGCGGCAACCGAAACTGCAGTGCGTTGGATTGCCGTGTGATTTGAAAGCGGGTAGCCAAGCACGTCACTTGGTGACTACTACCACTGTTGCTGCTTGAATTACTCGCAGAACCAAAAACACACACCAAGGAAGCAGGCGATGTTCCCGGCATGGCACTTGGCAACGTCGCGATGGGATCGGCATCTTCTGTCCACAACTGCAGACACCCTCGTCCTGCCGTGGCAAAAGCTACCGGAGAACCGGCCCGCCTCTGTAGCGCCACTACGCTATTGACTTCTCTATCTTCGTTGCTTACTTGGTTATGTACAACGTCATGCTCTTGAGAAGCATGCTTCCAAAGCTGCACATGTCCATCATCCAGGGCACTGATCAAAGATCCATTTGGGAGGACAGCAAGATCGTTGACATAGGCCCGTCTCAATTCCAATCCCAAATTCATTGCAACTTTTCCTTGCAGCGTCGTGTTGCCATTGCACTTGAGTTCTTGTTCAATTTGACGCTGGGGGAGACCGGTTACCAATCTGTTGTACTGATATAATTCCTGTTTGTGGTCATCTCGAAGATGTGGGGGCAATTGCAGAGCTTGGATCATGCCCTGAGCATCTGCCATGGCGGCTTGAGCTTGCATATCCTGAGCCTTTTGCAAGTCTTCAGGTGTCAAATCTTCCAAAAAAGTCGTCTTTTGAGTTGGCTCTGATAACGTTTCAGCAGATCCAATCAATGTTACCAACAACGGTGTTTGCGGATTCTTGATGGTATCGGCATCCAAAACTTCTGTATCTTTCAAAATCCCCTTCCATGCTTTCTTGGCAGTTAGTTTTTGACGTTCCAAAGGCACTCCAGTTTGTGCCTGCACTCGTTGCTTAAAGTCTGTTGCAGTCTCTCCCAGGTTGATGGCGAGTGGAAACGTCTTCTTGTTCCATTTTAAGGTCACAGGAAAGGACGCACTTCCGGTAGTGCTTGGCTGATCGCTCATTTCGGATTAGAAAACAACAATCAACTCGGAAACCTGAGACTTGAGAGTTTGTGGGCGCTTTGGATTCTTGTCCTCTCACTTTGTTGACTTTGTTGACTTCGTGACTCTTGCCTGTACTCTAGTAGCTTCGTGGTTCTTGCTCTCCGCTCTCCCATGTTTCGTTTCGTGTCAGTAGTCTAGTCACACCAGGCAATCTGGACCATTCGATGCAGTTCGATAGTGATCATTATATTTAAGGCTAGGGCTCAGGCTAACTCTCGACTGAATGAGTGAGTCGAGTCAAGTCGAGTCAGAGTCCCTCGACTGGAGTGACAGTCGAGTGACGTCCAGTCACTCTCACTTGCTAAGAGTAGTTCGCGAATGCGAGAGCTGGCTACGTACACAAAGAGAGCTACCATGTACGAGTAGATCTTCAATTAAAATATGGCATGTATGATATGCATGTCCAGTCACGGTGTTGGGAGCAGTGTTGGCGTTGGCGGAATAAAAAGCTATTGAAAACCAGAACCCATGCACTTCGGTTTTTACGTTTACTTAAAGATCGTGAAAATTACATTTACGATGACATTTAGGGTCTCTTTCTCTTTTCTGTGTTCAACAAACTCTCACTTCGCCGAACGCCGAACATTATGGTCAAAATCAAAAAGATTTTTATTCAGAAACTAGCATTGGAAAGAAAGGAACAATCGATTACGAGTAGTAGCTCGGATAGTACAAAGCCAGAGAGTACTTCCATATTTACCAGAAATGATTCAATCATCAAAAGAACAATTTACATTTTTTAGAAGAACGCCTTGATTTCCAAACTGTGCGATCTAAACCTTGGTATTTAAATCACACTCCTCATGGTTCCTATTTCACCCCCTCCACAATGTTTTGCTTCGCCCGCATCCTGACAGCATACTGGTACAGTAGCTAAACCCCAGCGCTACCGGTATTTCCGCATCGAAGCAGGCCTCTTGACGAAACTCCAGACCTCCTCATCAACTCATGCAATGAAAACTTCCGTGCCTGCATGTAAAAGGCCAGGTGTCATAGGTGCATGAGAAAAGATAGCCGGTCAGTTAGACAAAAAGAGTGGAGCTATGCATCTTACCGGTGGCAATATGGAAGTATGTCAGCCAACTACCTGATGCCGGGATGGCAGAAATAGCTAGATTATGACGCGTAATCTGAGGAACTTCACTTCGATCAATGCTCTCAGTAATCAGTAATCTCTTCTACTGCGTGTTTGCAGGTTGGACTCGTCACTCATGCTATGATGGTTGTGTCTGCATGTCACGCTTTCCTGAGCGATCGTCGCTGCAGGTGGCACCTTCGTGGTATCGTCTTGCCCTTGGGCTTTCGTAGTTTTATAATCAAGGTAATAGAAGCTTGGAAATTTGAAGAAGGTTCAGTTGCCAAACGAAACCTTGATGTTTCAATCGCGCGAGAGCATCAATTCTTAGCGCTCATGTCGATGGACACCCTTTTATGGACAGCGGGTCAACAGCACCACAATGTAGCTAGCCAGTTTAGTCTTGTGTTTGCTAGTGACTCAATCAAGGAAGAAGAAAAAAAACACGAGTCCTCTGCATCAACAGCAAACAGTGTTGTTGTGCTGTTGTTGCCATCTCCCTGTGATTACTACTAGCTAGTAGTGGTCATACCATCTACCACTACTCCATAAGAGGAAGCAGCTTGATTCAAGTGCTTCCACTGTAGAAGTCAAAATCTGATCTGTACTGTATTGCATACTGTTTGATCAATGCACTTTCCTGCTGCCCATACCGTTTACGGTTCATCGTGGGAACAATTTACTGTGTACCGTTTACCGTTTACCGTTCATACATTGACTTGCTCAAAAGAGGACAATATCTGTGTACGATATACGGTTTACGGTTTTACAACTTAAAGTTGATGGTTGAATGATTTACGATATACGGTATCCTCCCTCCTGCGATGTCTCCAAAAAAGCAAGGCACAACCCAAAGCCACAGCAGATAAACGGTAAACGGTAAACAGTACACAAAATAATTGAAACGGTACACGGTAAACCGTGTTGAATTCTCTTTACAAAAATGTCAAAGAGAAAAACTGCGGTAAACGGTATACCGTTTGGACTGGCCACATATGCAATCCATAAAGACCTCAACAGTGTTTACACTGTATACCGTATACCGTATCCGCCACCTCATTGGTGATGACTAAATTTTTATGCAGAAGTGGGTGGGCCTGCTACATTGTGGTGCTGTTGACCCCCTGTCCTGCGGTCTGGCGATGTGTTTCAGCAACCACGATTCGGACGATGCTGCGTCTAAAGGATTTAAGGATTTGCCGTTTGCTACCTCCCTTCATTGATGAATGTCCAAGGAGGAGATGGCAGGGATCTGGAGCGCAACGGCCGTGGACGTGCTTCGAGCGCTGCATAAAGATCATGATCAACTCCATCCAAGCTTAGAGCCTAGAGTAGCTAGAAAGCACCGGTAGAGCCGGCTGTTATAGCTAGCAGCCAGTGCATGTACAGAGAGCTCACCACTCGCGTCAACCTTTGCTGAGACTATCAATTCGGCCTCAGCTTGAGCTAGCGTGGCTTTACTTGCCAAAGAGAGAAACGCCAAAGCCCAATCCCGATACCTTTTACCGCAGGAACAAGATGGATGGAAGCAACAAGCGAAGTTTGGATGGCGGAGAGGACGTCGATGACGATGACAAAAAACCTGCCGCCAAGGACTTGGGAGACGCTACCGCTCCGCCCAAACGAAAACGAAAGAGTGATGGCAAACCCGAAAAGACCAATCACCAGGAGCGCTGGCAGGGAATGTACGATCGCCTCGTTGCCTACAAGGCTCGTTTTGGAGACACAAGCGTTCCCAATCGCTACCCGGAGGACCCCCAGGTAAGGTAGCTTCCTACCGTAGCTATACATTGCTGGCTTACAACATCGCCCTATACATTGGGAGGATCTGCCAGGTTTGACATTCTAGCTTCATTCTCACCTATGGTGTTTATCTTGCTTCGTTCTTTCTTCCACCGCAATCCACACCTTTCACCGAAGCTTGGCTCATGGGGTACGTTGGCTGTCTGCTGGCAGTGAGGACCAGGCACATCAGCCGTTTTCCCACAGAGTGGGACCACTTATCCTCCTCCGTCCTCACCTTCATTTCCTGATCTTCACTCTTATTAGTGTCTGCTCAACGTCGAGCATACAAGACAATCACCGAAGGTGGAACGGGGTCGTCTGCCATGACATTGGAACGAGCCAACAAACTCAAAGAGTTGGACTTTGAGTGGGAGGCAATCAACCCCAACAATGTACCGTGGGAAACTCGTTACAAGGAACTGTGTGCGTTTGTGGTAAGATCAGGATTTTCCAATCTTTTGGGCCAGCATGGCTTTACAGACCCGAAGGATGTGCAGGGGACATCAGCCGGTCATGCCTGAATACAACTTTTATGAGTGCCTCATGAGATCTCTTTCTTTTTTTAATTGTTGGTGTTGACCTTATTCGTTGATTGTTCTCTGGTGGGCGATCAGGCCAAGTATGGACACGGTACGTTGGTCAACTTTCTCTGTTCAATCGCTCCTGAATGTCAAAACTTATTCCGTTCTTTCCTGTTCTGCGTAGCCAACGTTCCAATGCGATGGTAGGTGATCATAATATATATCGGTACTGTACCAGGCTGAGGTTTCTTTTTTGCTGCTTTGTCTCTGCTTATTATCACACAACTAATACCGAATTTGGCGCCCGTCGCACCGCAATCAGGAAGGAGAATGTTCAGCTCTCAAATTGGGTACGTGTGTTGTTAGTCTGGAGGGGGCACCAGCCTTGAGGAGGACCGGTTTTTACCACACTGAGGTACTATTTTGCTGGAACCAAATCTCATCCACTGCTTTCTGCCTCTATGCTATCATGCTCACATGCATCCTTTTCCTGTAGGTTTCCAAGCAGGTGCGTTGACATTCAGTTGCAAGGAATGGCATACTGACCCACAATGTGATTAGTGAATGCTCGAAGATGGAACGAAAGGGTTTCCCGGCATTCCAACATGATCTCTTTGAAGCCAAGGAAACCTATAAACAATCTCTACGGGAATTCCTCTCCGGACCTCACCACAGTTTGTCCTCATTTTCGTTCTGCGTCTCACAGCGCCACGACTTTAAGCTATTGCAACGAGGGACATCGTCTCGGTTGACTCAGAAGCGGATGGAATTGCTGAATAATATAAACTTTGTGTGGGAAGTGGAACGAGGCTCCTCCATAGCACAATTGCAGCGTGTTGCAGTGGTTGGATTGCCCAACCGGAAGGGAAGCAAAGCCAAAAAGCAGGCTGCCAAACTCCTGGATCTCAAGAATGAAGAGGCAAAGGACCAGGCAGCCAACGCAGGATCACCATCTTCAATGGCTGTGGCAACTGGAGACGGTGGTGGGGGGGAGATGCAAGCGGCCGTGAAAACACCGACAGGTACACAACAACACGGACATGCCGCCTCTGCGGTCGCCTCGCTTCCCGCTTCTGGTCCCCACGCTAGGCCTTTCTCGTCAATCCCGGCTCGGCTGGGAGGTAATTTACCGTGTCTTGCTGGCACAAGTGGTAACCTAGTTGCAGGACACTCTGCTGGCAAGGGAGTACAGCCAACTGACGATGGCCATGGGGCATACACCGTGCCCCCAGCCGAAGGAGACAATGGCGGAGCCACCGCCTTGAACAATATTGGCTCTCTCCTCGCCTCTCAATTTGCTATTAGCGGTGCTGGTGCTCCTGGTTCCGCCCCACCCCCTTTAGCTAATGCAGCGTCAATTCTTCATAATGCCAACCTTGCCACAGGCACTTCCTCTGTCACGGACCCAAATCTTCTCCTGTGGCAAGCTCTGCAGTCAGAGCAACAACCACAGACAGTTATACTACCAATCCTGACACTCTTGCCTACAAACCTTGGTATCGGGACGCAGTCGAGCATCCCTCTGGCAACGTTGCTTCAAGCTTTGCAAGGGCCCAACAACAATCTCCAACCCTCACAGGCGAATAATGCTGCACTAGCGGGCCTCCTTGGCGGCGTTGGTGTTGGTGGAACAGCTTCGTCTGTGGGTGTTGCCGGCAATGGCTTGGCAGTGGGTTTGGGTGGTGGATCTGGAAGCTTCAACACCGCCTCCTCCCTCCTCACGGGTACGTCGGGGACTTGGCCAGTTCCACTGCAATATCCTCAAATTGCCGCAGTTACTAACGCTCTGGCTGCAGCAGGGCAGCAACAGGCTTCTTCTTCAGTTTTGACATCTGCGTCTTTGGCAGCAGCTCTAGGTACAGTGAACGCGGCCAACCCTTCGGACGTTGGTGGGCTAGCATCGGGGACGACCAGTTCCCTATTGGCAAACGTTTTGAGAAGTGGCAACCTTAGCACAGCAGATGCGTCTCAGTTGGCTTCAGCAATAGCTGCTTCGTCTACGGCCCAAGCATCAAATCATCCTTCCGCTTCTGCATTTGCCCTGACGTCGGCTTTGGCGGCAAGTGGCACCTCCATCAACGTTGGCCAAACTCCAGCTACAAACGCTACAAACCCCAACTTCTCCTATTTGGCAGCTCCCGTTCAAAGAGACTTTGGTGGCTCCATGGCTGCCACTTCTACAGCAACGGCAGCGCCCGATGTGCGACAAGTACCCGCAGCCAGCTTTTTCTCGTCCTTCTCACAGTCCTTGCAATTGCCACAGCAGCAACAGCATCAAGCGAGTGTTCAGCAGCAACAGCCCAATGTTCAGCAGCAGCAGCAGCAGCCCAATGTTCAGCAGCAACAGCAACAACAACTGCCACAACCCGATTCGTCGTCGTCAGAAAGTTCCGATGAAGAAAGCGACGCTTAGTCGATCGAGCACGACACTATTTTAAAATAGCTAGCTAGCCAGACAGACTTGGCTGGTAGCGAAATGATTCATTCGATTCTGAGCTTGCTGCTGGATCTGAAGAAATTTGAATCTATCTGTTCATTTGTTCCCTTAGTTTGCTTATGTCTATTCAGTGCAATGTTTTTGATTCAATCTACCCAAAATGCTTCTTTGTTTATGAGGACAGTTCCATCTTTGTCTTTCGCTATCCAGCTCGCTGGCAGTCCGTTCAAACAGAGGTAGACTGCTGATTCTGGTTCATCATGTAATCCCAAAACATTCGACGCTCGTCTTCCGACATGGAATTGAAGGCCTTCATGCCCTCCCGAAGCTGGTCGGCTACATGTTGGCCGGAAGCACGGGGGAAACGGGCGAGATGCATACCGTAGGCAATGGCGAGCTCCAAGCTGTGTGGTCCGTGCTGTGTTGGAGCGTACCTGCCATACATTTCGTGCACGGGCGACGAGTGATAGTCGTGCGACGGGGTAGTAAAAGCCATGGCATTGCGATAGTAGGCGTGAAATCGAGGCCCGCCGAATAGATTGACCCATCCTTCGAATATCTTGCCTGACAAGTCCTTGAGGGAGGAACGAGGATTCTTGGTGCGCTTTTGATGCTTGGCGATACAAGTCTGGACAATAGTTTGGGCGTGATGCACAAGAGTGCGATCATGTTCGTTGTAATGAAGGTATAGAAGGATGCGATGGATAGAGTCTTCCACCGGTAACGGTGGCTGTGCAGCAGCTCCTACGGGATATTCTGTTGCTCGTGGTTCCTCGATCAAAGCGGGGGTTTTCGTTTGTTTGGGGCGGAATGTCGTGATGTTGTCGTCCATAATGTCGCTTTTCAGCAGGGTTTGAATATCGTCTTCCATTAGAACCGCTGGCTCCTCTTCGTTGTCGAAACTTGATCCGTGCGATACTGTTGCGGCGATCGTTGGGATTTGCTTGTCGGGAGAAAAGATTGATGTCGTCACGGGATCTTCATGGGTAAGATTCGGGCGTTGTTCGAGAAGACCTTGGATTGAATCGTCGTCATCAATGCCACAAGAATCTTTGATCAGGTCTTTGTCGAATGAAATCATGAGGTCGTCTGCCAGGAGATCTTCGATGGCGTCCACTGATCCCCAGGAGGCATCGTCTTCAAAAGGCTGCGTTTGGTCCGAAAACTGCATCGAGGGTGGGGAAGATGATGTCATTGTTGAATAAAATTCGTCTTAGCTTACTTTGTCTTTTAGAATCAATGTTGAAGCGGCTTTGTTTTGTGTGATCAGGTATTGGTACTGAATTGGGAACGTCAACATCAATCAAAAGCCAGGACATCAAACATAACATCAAACTTTAAAAGTGAAAAAGTTTCAAAAAGTAAGTTTCAAAAAGTGGAGGGACCGATGTCGGGGTGCGGTTTCAGTCACGCTTTCGTTTCTACACAGTTTGAGAACCGTTTCCTCCCAGAGTCAAAGATCCAAAACTCGAACCCTTTAGAAATTGTCGAGGGTTATGCGGCGAGACGACGGCCACCGTTCGTGCCGCCAACAACAGCACAACCAACTCACAAGCACATCCATCCAAAGCACAAGTCTTTCTGAAGCAAGATGAATCGATGGCAGCCCCTCTTTCGACGGAGCTATGATTCCATTGTCTCGTCAGTGTTTGCTCTTTCCGTTCGACACATGAGCAAATACATGTCGAAGCAAGCAACCAAGCGACAGCCCCTCACCACAAAACGAGCTCGAAAAGGTTACTACAAAGGCAAAGGGGGCACCAAAGAAGGTCGACTGACGAGCAAAGGAAAATTCATTGTGGATCCCTTGAAGCGTTTGCAGTTAATTGTCCCAGATTTGGAAGGATTCAAGGTGAGTTTGGTGACCTTGACTTCTTCTCGTTGTACAATACTACAACATGTAGGGTCCCTTGCTGTATACCGAATCTCAACTTTGTTGCTTATTGTCTTGCTGCCTCCAACATTTTAGCTCAAGCCGTATGTCGCCCTTGGCGTCCCCAAAGAAGCTCCTGAAAATAGATCTGAACAAATGCCTTCGTCCCACTAGCTAATAAAGTGCCTATAGCTTCTACTTTAAAAAAGGACGATAGGAGTAATTGTAAATGCAGTTGCCAATAGGTTGTGCGTATTAAGTATAGTCAAGGCCTCGATAAGGTGGCTAGATTCTGAGAAGTATTGGAAACGTTGCATGTTTCCCTTTATCCCAAAGGGGGGTTTTAGAGTAGGGTGCAGAATGGCATTACCTGCAACTCTCTACTAGTAATCGAATACTCCAAGAGTATAGTCAATGTCAATTCCAGAGTAGCGTGGTACATGTAGTTGAACCAAACATGCAGGTACATGTACGCTCTATACTGTATGCCAGTAGTTCAGCTAGCTAGCTCTGAAAGACAATCCGGTTGGCGGCTTGTATATCTCGTTCGACATCCACCCATTTTTCGCTCGTTTTGGGTACATCTTTGAGCATGTCCCGGGCACTGTAGATGACACGTTGTACGCCTTCAATATCCATGAGCCCGAGCTGCAAGGCCGCAGTGGCGGCGCCTACATATGTCCGGAAAAAGACAATGGGTCTCCCATTGATCAACCGTGGCGGTGGCACCACGACCGGGACGTTTGGTTCGTTGGATACCTTGTGCAGAAAGATTGCCTTGACCACTTCGGGATACTCTCGCAGCATGGTTTCTCCCGCTTCTTGATCCAGTTCCCCCGTATCTCCCACGTAAACGTATTGGAGTATAGTGCCGGTGGGATCCTGTTCCAGCAAGCGTTCAAAGTTGGTAAATTTGCGCAATCCCTTTTTGTTTTGAATGATCCACTCGGCCACGGATCCGTAGAGGACGGGTCCCAATCCCCACTGTTGGACGCCGGATGCTTCGGCCGCCGTTCGTAGGGCCACGGCGATTTTGGAATCTTGTTTGAGTTCGAGTGCGGCCTTGAATTCTTCGGCTCGTGCCGTCAAAATGGCCACTTTGGGAGGGCATTTCTCGAGTGTTCCGTTGACGCGACTGCTGCTGCCACCCATGCTGACTTCGAGCATGAACTGTGCCACCCCGGGGTAAATTTCCCCACGTTCATATTGAATATCAATGCCGCCCAAATTGACACCGGCTACGTTGACGCCGCCACTGCTCTTCAAGGTGTCATCGACGTCGGATAATACTTGTGTAAACAGGGCATTGGCGGATGACTGCAGACTAGTGGACGTGTGACTTGATATCAGTATAGCTGATGCATGCCGTATGGTTGGTATTGGCTTTGGGGGAGAAAATGCAGAAGATTCCAACAAGTAGAAAACTGTTGTCAAAGCCACCAGAAGAAGCTTGGAAAGAAACTGATGAAGATGTCGAGAGGGCACCGGTAGCATGGTGATTGCTTCTTTCAAATTTAAACTAAGTATGCGTATCAAGGTACTGGACACAGTAAGCTGCTTAGAATGTCAATAGGATACCCTTGCAAGTCGTTCACTTGAGTCTCTTTGCTGCTGAAGCTGTGCTGCTTTTACGGCTGCTTGGCCTTTGGAATGGCTTCATCTTGAAGGGTTGGCATGTTGACAATCCATGGAGCCAGTGAGTGAGTGTCGTCAGTCCTGTCAATGGAGGGAGTTTGGAGCTGGAGCAAGTGTGCCTCCACAGGAAAAGATCCAAACCAAATCATCCTTCCGATGGTCATCCACATTTCTGGCATCGATGACGGCACGGCACATCCATTTATCCATTGAAACAGAAGCTTTCGACAAGCTAGCTACTCGAGTAGAGTCGAGTCTTTTATCAGCCACTATGAGGGTATCTCCTTCTGATCAGTATCATCTCCAAGTATCACCATTTCAAATCACAAGGAGGAAAAAGAGTACACCGTTTCCTTTCGTTATCATCATTGCAATCTGCCTGGGTACCAGCAGTCTTCTACTCCAGCATGTCCAAGCTACCAACGATGCGGGTCTCCAATGGCTGGCCAAGCAACGCGAGGACAAGCACACGGTGGAAACTCCCTCTGGTCTGATGTACAAGCGCAAAATCAAAAAGCCAAGAGGCACACATCATCCCTCCTTTGATGCTTACTGCAAGATCCAACTGGAAATTTCCCGCGTCTTGGATCACAACGGTACCACAGAACTGGTGGAGAGCACCACTGCCGAAGGAGGAGGACAACCCATTACACTGCGACCAGAAGATTCTTCCCTTCCTGTCATTCGAGAAGCCTTGCAATCCATGGTAGAAGGAGATTGGTGGGAATTGTATGTACCCAGTCACTTGGGATACCAACACGGTGATAACAAGAACAACAAGAACAAAGCAACAACAACAAACCACGACGACAATAACGATGCAGCAGCATTACTCGTGGAATTGGAATTGCAAGAGATTTCTCATGGCGATCTCTTGCCTGCTGGAGAAGTACACCGGTGTTTCTTCCAGATCCAATGGAATGCTGCCGAGAGAATCTATTTCTTTCAACCCAATTCCGAATGCGACGAACGCGATCAAACGTACATTCAAAAAGTCTCCCGTTGGGATAGTCGTTCCAGCAAAGCCGATGCCGAAACGGCTCGATTGAGGAACATGCTGGCAAAGGAAAATGTCAAGCAGGAATTGGGCTTTTGGATGCGACGCAGGATGCACATTCTCAAGCAATTCCTAAAGGAAGAAATGAGGATATGTACCCTGATCCAGGACGGAGCCTACATGGAAGACTGCAATGCTCAAGAGCAAGAATATGTCAAAAAGGTCGATGCGTGGGAAGACACCAAAGTGGCAGAGGAAATCGAACGACTTGTTCATATGGATCAGACGACCACGACAAGTCTGGAACCAACACTGGCCTCGTGGGTACGGCGTCGCATACGGATTCTCAATCAAATGCAATCGGTAAAGAGTAAACGCCATTCCGTGGACAACAACAACAACAACAGCGACAACAACACGGCTGATGACACTGGCAACCAAGAAACACATCATCAACATGAGGAGTTATGAGAATACTATAGCTAGATAAGCTGAGTATACTTTCAATTCAAGAATGGGCCCATCGATGAGCCATTGATTCAGTCACTCGACGTGCCTCCAGTAACTGTAAATATAACATAGCAAGCGCAACTATAACATGGCAAGCGCAACGCTTCATTGCGGTGCAAATGATTGCTCCGTGTATTATGATCCTGTTATATTAACTTGTGCCAGCTATCAAATCGGAAGCTCTTGGTTCCATTAAGCTGAGCTGTACATTGCCAAGCGACAGCACTGACGCCACGCCAGCTATATTCATGATGTACAACTGTATCAAAAAGATATGTTCATCTTGTCCAACAGCCGCGTGAGGCAACAAAGCCAACTTTCGCTCAACCAGCAATCATCTGTTCGGGTCTGCGTTCCTGTTCCGGAACCTTGCAAAGCACAAGATAACTTTCTTGTCGCCCACCAAGCAAGTTGTTATCCCCAGTGTTGAGTGATTTTCCAGAATTTGAAGTCGTCTTCATTCTTCTTCCGAATTTGAAGTGATCTTTGTACATTCTCGATCATTAACCGTCTCCGAGCCTCTTCAGAGGGGGCGCCATAGAAGAACTCGTTGATCCGGAGCTCTTCTGGATACAGTTTAGCGCCCAGCTGCCACTTACTTGCTTGCCAAGGAAACCTCCTCTTCCAAAGAGCCCAAAAGAAGCTCACAACTGTTGGTGAGTTGAGCATCATTGCTTTCTTCAGACTCATGGGGTAGGCCTTGAAAAGCGTATCTATGGCAGTTTCAGTGAAGCTCGAATCAAAGCACTCAAAACCAGCTCCCTCACACTCGCATACAACCTCGCAGCCTTCTCGGATGGCGTGGAAGTTTGGGTAGAGGCTATTCATCAAATAGTAATGAGCTCCAAAGAACGTTCGTATCTGCTCGTCCGTTTGGATTTGCTCTTTGGGACGAAAGGCTGCAAAATCAAAGATCCCCACACAATTGAGGCGGGGAGGTATCAAATCCACTGCCAGAAAGACCCCAGGGCACATCAAGGAAAACCGATCAAAGAACTCTGCTCCTTCTTCTGGAGTTCCTTTGATCTTGTATTCTTTACGAAAGCACTTGATCATGCAGATCTTGTCCACCACTTGTCCAAGGGATTCTTCTTCTCCCAAACTGGCCAGAGCAAACTGAACGTACTCGAAATCGGAGATTTCTGAGTCAATACGCTGGTCAAGAAGGACCAAAGTTTTGATCATCAAAGCTCTCCATAACTCCTCTTCGGTGATTTGCATCAGGACCTTGGCTGGATCCCCAGTAATATCGCTATGACCTCGTAGAAAGGGGATATCAGTTGGACCGCTTCTGTTGCCTGTCACTCTTTCCATTCTGTTTGTCTGTCAGTTGTCGGTGCCCGGAGAAGTGCAAAGGAATGAACGGCGAGGACGGCAATGAGGCCTGCAATGGACGAAGTGATCACCTTATTAGTTTGGAAGTACAGTACAACAACTATAATGACAGAGCCTCGAACATGGGATGGTCGAAAGCCAAGCGTTCTATCAATCTACCAATACTCGTTGTTGGCTTTCACCGACGGAAGTTGTTTGTGATCTGTTTTCCTGCCTGTTTCCAAAATTGTGGGCGGATCGCGACGGGGCCTGGGCCTGTTGCGACCGACGAAGTTGCGACCAAACGATACTCAATTGCCGTACCAGTAATACAGGTCAGAATTGGAAAGTACTTATAAGGCCTTGGTTATAAGATGTATTATTTCAAGTTTTAAGTTTGCTCTACAGTGCCAGCTACCGTAGCCACGGTAGCTAGTATGGTAGGTGGCAAAAACAAGTCCATTGACTTGCCGACCATCACTGTGAAACACGGTGGGCGCATTGCACTGTGAAGGTGGAGCTTCCAAAAGACCTCTGGTTGCGACAGCAAGTGGCCCCAGCTCTCAATTCTCCCTTGATACCAATTGGTCGGTAATACTCGTTTTGGAGTACCTAACGGTACATGTAGTGGTACCGCCGTAAGAGTTCCGAGAGTATTCGGTCAGCTTCTACTACATAGTAACATCTTATTATTGAGGCAATCACACTCAAGAGGAGACGGAAGCCTTTCCCGAGAACGGGGGACAAACGGACAGCTGCACCGTGCCTCAAACCAACTCCGGTTAACTGGCACCGGTCCCCCAGAAGTCATCAGTAATACATGACCGGTATAATGTGCTCTTCCCTTGCGACCCTGCCGCTATTATCATACAACTGTACAGTACCGGTACGTGTCAGTGGCAATGACCGATGAGCCACGTGACATGACCCAAGACAGCTTTTTGGCTGCACAAGATCTTGGGCATAGGATTTCCTTTGCAGAGGAAGCTACGGCGACAACAGCACAAGCATCACAACAGAGGTTATTATTTTAAGCCATGAGATTTTGGCATAGAAGAGCTCGAAGCGCCATTCAAAATGGCGCTGCATGCATCCTCTGTATTCTGATGGCCAGCTTGAGCTTGACGAGAGCACAAGAATCCGCATCTTCCTATGGCGGATGCCCCATCGACGAGTATTACGGCGGACTCCTGACCAGCCGGGCCGACGGCACTGCCACGGTACGAGAGGATGTATCACGTCAAGATTTGGAAGCACTGCTGGAAGAGACTACTCGCCAGGTGCTGCCTTATACCGGCTCGAATGATCGCGATGATGTTTGGAAGGCATTGATAGATGTAGATGCTGGACAAGAACCGGATACTGTCCGATTGCTCTACCGACAAGTAGATTTTCCCGCTCTACCGCATGGAACAGCATCGACTTGGAATCGAGAGCATTTGTGGCCCAAGAGTCGTGGCGTCGAGTACAGCGGCAGCGACTTTACCGATGTGCATCATTTATTTCCGGCCGATTGGAATGTCAACTCGGCACGCAGCAATCTATTCTTTGGCAGCTGTGGTTTGGTGGAACCCCAATCTTCCTGCAAGTCTCCCGCACACACCGAAGCTGCCAGTGACACAGAGTCGGATTCTCAAGTCTTTTTGCCGCCTGCCAACGTCCGAGGAGACATTGCCCGGGCCCTCTTCTACATGGATCTCCGGTATTCCAGTAGCACCAACAATGGAATCGATTTGGTACTGACCGATTGTCCTTCTCCAAACAATGATAATGAAATGGCCTATCTGAGTCAATTACTGACTTGGCATGTCATGGATCCAGTTGACGAAGGAGAAAAACAACGCAATCAACGGGTCTGTGAACGCTGGCAAGGAAATCGAAATCCATTTGTCGATTTCCCCGAATTGGCAGAACGATTCCTTGGCAGTCCCCAAACACCAGCCAATGATGGCACCGGATATCCATCATGTCAACAACAACAACCACAGCCACAACATCCATCCGGAGGTGACACGAATAATAACAATGAACCGTCGTCCAGTAATGATGACCCATGCAATGAACTGTCGGCGGGTGACATTTTATTCGTTGGAATGCGCTCGGACAATCCTGATTTAGTGGCCATGGTGACCTTTAAAGATTTGCCGGTAGGATTGAGGCTTTATTTGACGGACAATGCCTGGACGGGATCCGACCTTGGAACCAATGAAGGGACGATTCAACTCATTGTCACATCGGAGATTGCCTCCGGTGCCGTCTTTGGTTATGGTGGCGCCAGTGGAGAAGATACTTTGTTGTACCAAGGTGATTGGGAAAATGTACAAGGACAATTCGCACTGTCGGCGTCTGGAGACAGTGTTCTCCTGTATTGTAAAACCAACACGGAACAAGACGAGATTCGATTCCTGGCAGGCCTGGAGAATAGCGGCGACGGTTGGGTCGAATCATCCAATCAAGAAAATGACTTTGGAAGCAGTCGATCGGCATTACCGGCGGCATTGGAAGAAAAAGGTACCGTATCATTGCCTCATTACGACGACTTTGCATACGTCGGCGCACAAGAAGGATCCGTGGAACAACTGCAGGATCTCTTGACCGACCCTAGCCAATGGAGTGGACACAACAACGATGAGGATGACATGGTATTGCCAACATCCTTTGAGATTTCTCTCGCACCCGTGTCCATGACAGAATCCGTGGCTGGTGATGTCATGGTTGTAGCAGTGACTGCCATTGATCCCGACATGGTGGCATTGGTGGCGCTCGAGCCGCTTCCGGGTGGTACTGAATTGTACATTACCGACAATACCTGGACCGGTTCCAAGTTCCTCACCAACGAAGGAACTCTCAAGTTGACACTTCCACCCGCAGGCGTTGATGTGGGAAGCATCTTTGGTTATGGTGCCACTTCATTACGGTTCCATGATCAATGGCAATCGGAGGGTGGCCGGTTCGCTCTGGCAGAATCGGGAGATTCCATTGTGGTCTACACCAGGGACGGCAACGCAACGAAACACATGGCAGCCTTTTCGTATGCTGGCGGCGGGTGGAGAGCACCGGGGCTGGCCGACGACCAATACGGTACAGCCGACTCTGTCTTGCCAAAGGAGTTGGAACAAGTTGGAGCCGTGAGCCTTCCTCGTTTTGAGAGCTACGTCTACAAGGGCCCCACAGATGGTGAAAAGGAGTTTCTACAGAGGCAGCTACAGAACACTAGCAACTGGCAAGGTTATGATAGCAGTCGAGTGGAGCCACCGCGGGAAGATTTTTCTGTGCAGTCGTCACAGTCATCACCATCTTCTGCCACTTCCACTTGTCCTCTTTCAAGAAGACAGATCACGAACGTGCTGATGGTTGGGGTTGCCGTTGTGCGACTCCTTGGTTGGTCTTAGCTAGCTTGGTTGTGAGGGTTGCGAGCCCCTACTGTTCTTTTTGCTGCCTTGAGTCACTTTTGAGAAGCGTGGAGCCTCTCAGAAGCTTGTTCAAACAGCATAAACCGTAGGACTTTCCATTTGATGATCACAAGTAAAATTTAGCCCACTAAGAGACCAGCATTGCGTGCTGGTATGATTTATAGATTCATATGATTGAATTGTGATTTCACACTTGTAGCATTAGTCTAATTAGAAGTGTCCCTACATGTGTTTGGGTATCATTATGTTTCTGTTGAAAGCAATGCCTTCCAATGCACTCTTATAGTGACAGCAATGTTTGCTTGTATCATTGATTGAAATGCTTACTGCCACGCGTTTGAAAGGACATCGACTTCTACCAACAGCATCACCCGTGTATTCCTTAGTACGGGCTTCCCTCGGATTTGTTTTCACTGTCAGGGCTCTGCTGGAACAGGATTTCATTCTTCAAGCTTTGATAGCTATAGAACAGAGCACAAATGTCACAGAATAGAAGCAAGCAGCACTTGACTGTTAGATACTTCCGGCCATCTTCCTAGATGATTGTTTATGGCATATCTCTTGGTGGACTTACGCAATTTCCACGCTGGTTGGCCAATATCCCTTTGCCTTTTTGCTTCGAATTTGCTTGTACAAATCATCCTTCTTGATCCCGATGGGCAATCCCTCCGTTTCAATGACAAGGACTCGCAAAGCCTTGAGATCGCCTGCCAGTGCTTCTTCGTTTTCACCCTCACTTAGCAGCTTGTCCACTGCATCGATGAATTTCTTCTTCTGAGCGAGTTGCACCCGTCTGAATTCAGCAGCCTTGGCTTCATTGGCCTTGAATTCATCTGTAGGTTCTGTCAAGTACATGGGACGTGGCTCGGCATTGGCTGAAGCAAGCGGCAAAAAAACGGCAGCTGCCCCTACTGCCAGCCATTGTCTACGAGAATGAGCCTCCAATGCAGTGGAAGTGGAGGTTGACACAATGCTTGGTTCCGTGGGAACGACAAAGCCGCTCACCGAGGAGCATGTGAGGGTCAATGCCAGAGCGAGAGTTGGAAGTTTCATCTTTGTCGTTGTCCTTATCCTATCTTTCTTCAGCTGCATCCAAGTTGTGCCAGCTACACCTGTATTCTGTCAGATTTTGGTTGCCTGATGAGTCGAGTCAAAGCAGAAGACATCTTTGGCATCAGAGCCCCACAAGGTAGTATCTCAGTTTCCGTATCTTCTCGAACGGGGCTTCAATTGCCACAACGTCATCGATTTCAGCCATTAGCGTTAGAGATGTAAATTTCCCAAGTTCCCTGAAGAGGTGCGGTCACAGTTGCTGCGAAACGGCGGTTCGTGTGCTCAAAGCAATTTTTTCAGTCAACTGCAGAGGGATCTGGCCTTCCCCTACTTTTTGACAAGCTACCGTATGGTGTGCACCGGTACGAGCGTACGCCCAAGACTTAGACCCTTGCGAAGTCCTGTTCCTGGTCCTCGCCAGTTCTCGCATGGTACCTGGTACTGGTACAGGCCAAAACGTCGGTTTCAAACCAATGCGGTGGCAGACCAAAATAGAGCAAGCAAAACAACAGGACCCTCAAGCAGAGTATTCACGATGAAGCAGTTTTGCTCTTGGATACACTACATGAAAACGTAATGGGTTTTCTACTTGTCTCCTCAGTTGCCAAAATGCATCGCCAAAGTGGAGATCCAAGCTGACGAGAGCAACACGGTGTCAAATATTTCGAAGCTGGTTCCCGTAGCAGAGCCAAGGAATTCGTTTAAAGGTGCGAAATCTCGTGACTCTGCCGTGTATCTTTCTTTTGCCTCGAAAGCGCCACACCAAAGGTAAGTCCAACCTGGCTACTCACTAGCCACTGGCATCTTGGCAAAACACCTTTCGAAGCATGTCACAAGTTAGTTTCCGCTCCGTTCGTTCCAATGTTTCAAAATTGGTTTCCAACAGTCCAAACTTGGGCCGATATCCTTCTGCCCATTCAAAGTTGTCCATCAACGTCCAGATCAAATATCCACGAATATCAACGGCTTTCGTGTTGTTATCGTTGTTGCTGTTATTCATGAGATTGTACATGGCTCTTAGAATGGCGGCAATGTATCGCACTCGTTTGGTATCCGTCGTATCCGCTGTCCCTGATTCTGTAATGATGATGGGTACATTCGGGTATCGATCCGCCAATATTCGAAGCAACCGTTCCATACTGGAGGGTGTAAGGTCCCATCCCATTTCGTTCTTTTCAAAATTGGCAATGGCAGTGGCTCGTAGTTCCATTCCCACGACGGGCAAGGCAATGAACATGTCCGTAGGAGACGCTTGTTGCGGTGTACTAGTAGTAGAGCCACGAGTCCGACCAAACTGAACATAGGAACGATAGTAATGATTGACTCCAATCCAATCGGCACTTCCCTTGAGGTTGGCAATGTCGTCGTTCCATCCTGCGAGCAGTGCGGCAATATGAAACGGAAAGGGAAAGAGTGGGAACCGTCCCGCATGCTGTTGAGAAAAGATGGCATCCAAAAAGACGAAATTGTAGACATAATTCAAAAAGAGTGACACGATAGTGGAGAGTAGTCGGTTGAGTAACCATGCAAGCAGCGCCAAGGGGGAAGTAGTAGGTATTGGATGCTGATTGGAATCAAAGGGTAGAAAGTAGACATGATTGAGTGCCAAGCAAATGACCGGATCTTGTTTTTGGACCACGGCAGAGCTGGCTCTAATGGCTGCCGCCGCCAGCGTGTGAGCCACGAGCAGGTGTCTTGCGACTCGTAACATTCCAAAGAGATCATTCACCTTTCCAGGCGGATGAACCCCGGCAATCCAACCGCAAATGGCATATCCGTTCAACTCATTAATGGTCGTCCAATATCGGCAGTGAGGTGCCAATGCTTGCGTAATGTGAATTACAAATCGTTGAAAGAATTGCAGATTGTCTCGGTTCTCCCAACCTTCCTTTTCCACAAACCATGCTGGTTCTGTAAAATGATGCAACGTGACCATTGGCTCAATTCCCGCATCCACTAGTTGTTGACACCATGATTGGTATCGTTCCACAGCTGTGGCGTCAAATGAGCCACACGCGGGTTCAATCCGTGACCATTCTACGGAAAATCGATACATCTTCATGCCCAACTTTTTCATGTGTTCCAAGTCCGTATCAAACATTTCCCATGCCCGACACGCCTTTACGGCGGTTTCGTGATGTTCCACCGTCGGTTGTCCATCGTGCTGTCGTGTTTTTTGATCTTCCCATCGAGACCAGTTGCAATTCCTCAACCCGCCTTCAATCTGATACGCCGCCGTGGCCGCGCCCCACATAAACGTGGGTGGAAACGACAGATCTGACTTGCCTTGTGTTGCTTCTTGTATCGTCAATGGAGTACTCCCGTCCATCCAGAGCTCACCATTATCAGGAGCAGCCAGTTTCTTCACTGGGAGGGGCCCATAGAGCAAGAAGGTCTTTTGAAAGGAGGAGGTTGATGACATGTTTGTGTTGGCTACTGTACCACAAGAAGAATGGTGAGCCTTCTACAGGAAGCTTTGTTGTCAATCAACGCGGAAGGGAGAAGATCAGAAGATCGAAAGATCGAATCTAAAATGAGACAGCAGAGCCGTTTAACTAAAAGGAGGACTGGGATGCTGTTTTTGTGTCACCCTGCCACCACTCATTTTTCGTCTTCGTCTTCTATCATTTCCAGAGGACAAGCAGCATTGTTAGCAGACACCAAGCTTTAGTAGTAATAGGCAGAGAAAGAAAGCATAAAATTTGACCATGGGCCGAAGCGGAGGAAAGAAGCAAAAAGACAAAAAGACCAAGAAGACCAAGAAAGGAAATAATGACGACAATAATAACAATGACGGCAGCATGATATGGGTAGATCCCGCCCGAGTACGCTTCCAACATTCTCGCATCCGACCCTACTTTTCCGGGTGTGGCCGCAGTGTCCATGAGACGCTCGAGTCCATCCGTCAGGGGGAAATCTTGGCGGCGGATCTACCTCCCATTCAAGTCATTGTGGGTCCTAACGATACTACTGATAATGATCCTTGGTATTTCTCGCTCAACAATCGACGCTTGTGGGTACTCAAACGATGTCGAGAAGAAGGATTGCTCGAGTCCAACAACCATCAAGTACAAGTACGCGTCAGATCGCCCAAAAGCACCGCCGAAGCAGAGCGATACTCGGTGGAAAATTGTGCCCTAGAAGCGAAGCTCATGAAGGAATCAGCGCCCAGCAGAAACTCAAAAGAACAACCACCAGAAGAAACACCACCACCAAAGAAGCTGGATCAGGGAGAAAATATCTCCAAGGAGATTCCACCGTCTATCTTTGGTGCTGCTGACGATGACGAAGACAGTGATGATGACGATTCTGATGATGACGTTATTGTTGCCAGCAAGAATCCATTCAGTGCTCTCCTCTAGCTGCCCAGCTGGCCATTGTTCTGCAGGGAATTGCGATTTCGGTTGGGGATGAAAAAGCACTACAAACAGTACTACCGATGAAGTTAAGTTAGGGTGTATGGCGCTATTGATTGTCTACAAATCTATCATCAACAATCTGCACCCAACCTTGAAACTACCAAACGGTGGTGGGAGGTACCATTCCAAAGATGCTACCATGACGCCACATTGGCCACAAAAGAATGCTTGTGGTTTCCGAATCTGGGTTCTTCTGATGGACAAATTCAATGTGTCAATTCGCAAATCGATGGACTTTTGATGTGCATCCAAGACTTCTGTACTGCACAAATGGTGGCTCGCCAAGACTCTCTTTGGTCTGCCGGCCTGCAGTGCGGTAGCCCTGTGCCTCTGACGGCCTCAATCACCTGTGATAATGGGGACAGATAGGCCCCAAGATTAGGTTTGCATACGAAGGGGTTGGGATCTAAGGCAGTTCTGTTCAACTAGCAAAACAAACGGCGAAAATGAAAGTAACTGGGATCCATTTCAGTTCTGCTCGGGCAATACAAAGGAAAAGGAACTAAAACCGTGCCGTTCAGCATTCTCTGTTGGTCGATGGGTCCTTGGCCTGTGGTGGCATGGCATATCCGTTCGCCACACTATGCCAACACCAACACCAGCAACATACTGGTTAGTGGAGTCCGCAGCTCGGGTCGTTTGCAAAGCAAACTAAATTACCAGGAGCTACGTTTATTCCCGTCCTGGATTAGCAGTTGCCAGCTAATGATACCGGTAGCATGGCTGGAAATCGGCTCCTTATTATTACCCCACACTGTCGCTACCCGTCAGCTGCTGTCCCCAAGAGCCTGGCCAGCATCTAGCTAGATAGTAGCTCCGGTTGGCGTGAATTTAGAGAAGTCCGTTGCAAGTCAAAGTACTGGCAATGGAAATCCCATGCCTTTGAGCCCAACTAAACGCTGTCAAAAACAGCTCAGTCGCCTCGAAGAGAGATTCTCAGCGATTTTCTACTACCAGGTACCTATTGCTCCTAGCTAGCTGGGCTAGCTAGCGAAGATGCGCGTAATGTAGAGCTACACTCAGATAGAATCGAATCTGATGAGCTCTAGCTAGCTAGACTCTATCTGATGTGAGTTGCCACGGAATGTGGAAATCAGGAATTCCCAAGAACCGCCCCAAAGCGGGGCCTCGCAGCGGTTCGGTAGCAGGCACCGGAACCGATCCGTGCTATATGCATGGGTCTGTACTGTACCACGGTACAGGTACCAGTATGAACGTAAAAACCAAAAAAGCGAACACAAGGGTTCTCGTAGAACACGAGTCACAAAGTGGCCAAAAGAGGCTTCCCGAGAAGCATTTCGTAAAATTCGGAAAAATGCTCCTCGGTGGCAACTGAGGTGACGGGGTGACATCAGCTTCCTGTATCTCTTTGGGCATCTCATTTTCTCGCAAAGACGTCTATCTTTTCCTGTATTGACACCCAACTAAACTGGCACGGGCTCACTTGACAGCAGCAGCGAATTGAATTCTATTGCCAAATAACCATATCTATTCTATCAGCACCTACCACTCAGCACTGTTATTGCAAGGCTACTAGAGAAGCACAAGCATGGAGAGCAAGAAGGGTCGAATGTGGGAGGATGTGGTTCCCCACAACAACATTGATGTTGACACCTTACTCCGCGAGGACACCGAAGAATTCATGAAGGAAGACGAAATTGGAATGAATGGCGTACCGGTAGTTTTCGCTGATGTCGAAGAGGTAGAAGAGCCAATCAAAGAAGCCCCGATCAACGATGGACCGATGGTGGCTCCCTTCAAGGATAAGAAGGATGCCAGATTGCACTGGGAGAATGTTGAGTTGACATTTGACAAGGGCGGGAAGACGGATAAGTTCACCATTTTGAATGGCGTATGGGGTGAAGCGCCACAAGGAGAAGTCTCGGCAATCATGGGCCCCAGTGGCAGTGGGTGAGTCGAGTGTATTTGTCGGTTGCTTGGTATTATTAGTTTGGGTATCTGTCTGGATTGGGTTCTCATCGTTCCCACGCATACCGGTATCACAGAAAAACGTCCTTATTGAATGTGTTATCTGGGCGAATGACCAGTTCCACGGCCTTTGTCACTGTGAATGCAGAGCAGGTGACTTGGAATGGTCGCAAGCTTGATGTTACCGCATTGGCCACAAGGCAGACGTTTGCCTTTGTGGCACAAGATGACAGTCTACCTATTACGGCGACACCTCGAGAGGCAATCATGTTCAGTGCCCGGCTGAGGTTGGAAAAGGATAAAACGGAAGAAGAATTGGTGGAAATTACAAACAAAATGTTGGATGAATTGCATCTGGATTCTTGCGCGGATACTATTGTTGGAGGTTAGCCTTTTGCTTGCATGCAATGATGACAACCATCGTATTTGCTTGCCTAACCGTGTGACTTCTTTTCGTTGATCCAAAGGTGCCTTGCTCAAGGGAATCTCGGGAGGAGAAAGAAAGCGTACATCTGTTGGGGTGGAGTTGGTTTGTAAGCCTAAACTTATCTTCCTGGACGAACCTACTTCGGTACGTGATTATGTTGGTCTGATTTTGCGTCCTATTTTGCGACTTGATTGCCTCACCTGAAGTATCGACGTCTACAGGGGCTAGATAGTTTCAATGCGTTAGAATTGGTCCAGGTCCTCAAAGATGTGGCTTTGGAAGAAAGCGCGTCCGTCATATTGACCATCCATCAGGTACGAGTTTTTGCGACATGAGTGCGTGGTATCTGTTCACGACCTTTTACTGACAGGGGACACGCCAACTCAGCCTTCTTCGGAAATTTGGGAGCTCTTTGATCGGCTAACCCTCCTGAACCGAGGAAGGGTCATGTACGAGGGAAGGAGGGATAAGGCGATGCCCAAATTTGCTGCTTGTGGATTCCCTCTGCCCCCACAGTACAATCCTGCAGATTGGGTGATGAATGTCGCCCAGACTCAAAAGACTGAACAGCTAGAACAGGCTGGGTTCTTTCCAATCAACGATTTCTCCACGGATGGCTTAGCAAAGATGCTCAGAGACTCGGAAATCAGTGATGGAATCAGTGATGGGTTCAATTTTGCATCTGTGAAACAACAAGACCGCGTGGGCATGGTGGCGCAGACCAAATTCTTGTTTATTCGCGAGATTCAAAACTTCCGCAGGAATGTACATCCTTTGCGAACAAGGACGGGAATGACACTGCTCATTGCCTTGTTGGCGGGTGTTCTGTTCTTCGATGCTGCCAAAGCAGATTTCAGCTTGTTGACTTCATTCGTCGATCTAAATACTGCCTTTGGCGCGCTCTTGCTTGCACTCATGTCCACTATGTTCAGTACGGTGCTACCTGTTTTGGTTTCCTTCCCGGAGGAAAGACCTGTCTTTTTGAGAGAGTATTCAACCGGATGCTACAGCGTGCCGGCTTACTTCGCCTCTCGCTTCGTCATGGAAGTCTTGGTTACCGCATTCCAAATGACCATTGGGACACTAATCCAGTACTTTATGGTGAGCAACACTGAACGTCGGGGTAAGCAGATACATCCGATCTTCACTTGCCTCCACTGACCTTGGTTGTTCGTTCGTTCAAGGTGGGATACCAAATGAACTATGGATTGTTTTGGCTTGTGACCTATGTCATGGCGATGACGTCCACTGCTCTGGGAGTGATGATCGGAAGTTCCGTGGCAGATGCGTCTGTGGCCATCGAGATGTTACCAGCCGTGTTCATGCGTGAGTACCAAAAACCAAGGAGCAAAACCAGGGTAACTGTTCTTTAGTTTTTTGCCTGTCGCTTGCTCAAACTATGCTGACACTGGCACCCGATATTTCACACGAAAAAAACAGCCCAGATTCTCTTTTCAGGTTTTTTTATTCCAAAGGAGAATATGCCAGATTGGCTTTCGTGGTTGACCTACATATACCCTTTGAACTATGCGGTTCGATTGGTGCTTGTTTATGAATTCGGAGACAACTGTGATTCGTTTATCTGCGAAGAGCTGTTGAGACGTGTGGATGCCAACAGCGAGGATACGTGGTGGTACTGGCTGATTCTTGTCGCACAATTCTTCTTCTTTCGGTTGTTGGCATTGTTCATCCTGCACAGAAAGGCCCAAAAGTTCTACTAGTAGCCATCATAGCTAGACCAGCCACCCATAAAGCATGAGCTTTCCACCCGGGAGTGCGTTTCAGGGTACAATCCACAATCCACATGCGCCGTCACTGGCCGCCAAAACTGAGCGCAACAATGTATGAACTATATAGTGATGGAGCTCGGTCATGTGAAACTGACCATGGCATTATCAAGACTCCTCTTTACCACTAGCTTAGCTAGAGTTTTTAACATTATGCTTGACTCTGTGATACGAACACTAGGCCACCCCAGGGTACAGCAGCGACTGAAGGCGCAGCACAGAACCGTGTCGCAATTGACAAGAAGCTCAAGCTGCCCTCAAGAGCCGGCAGATTCCAAAGCTACTGGGGAAGCTCCCCTGTCAAGATCGTGTCACTTCACTCTGATGCTGGTAATCGCAACCATGTATATGAACTATAGTGACGGATCTATTTGCGTGAATCCAACCTTGACAGTGCTGAGACGCTTCTTTGGCAATACACGTGGCTCGAAGCATAGACATAATGGTGGACTCGACTCTATGGCATGAACTCTACGGGGTGACTCAACTGTATGTGCAGCCCCACTCTATCCGCAGCACTGGACCATGTCACAATTGACAGAAAGCTCCAGCTGCCCCATCGCCTGCAGATTACAAATAGCCTCAGGAAGCTCCCCTGTCAAGTTTGTGTTACTCCACTCTGCTGATTGTAGAAGTTGCAAGGACTCAAAATTCGATGGCACCGTTCCTGATATTTGCGTTCCCGGAAAGTCTAGAATTCTAAGCCGCTCCAGGCTGCCAATGGATGACGGTATAGTTCCATGCACTCTGTCGTTGTACCCAAAACGGAGAACCTCAAGGTTGGAAAGGGTGCCTGTAGGACAACATGTGCACATAATCCAAGTTAGTTCCCTTGCGAACCTTCGACTTGGCCATGCATAAGAGCGTATCTTACCCATCAATTCAGGGATGGTACCGCCGTAAAGATTGCCCGTTCCATCAAATTCCACAATGTTCGGCGCCATGATCGTCAAAGATGATAGGAAATCGCCAGAAAGCCGGTTATTGCTATTCCGCAAGATTCGCAATTTGGAGTTGGAGAAGCCCAATTCAGACGCCAGGATTCCAGAAAGCTGATTATTGGATAAGTCAACAACTTCAAGTTGCCGAGCCGCGAGAGACAGCGGCGGAAGGTTGCCAGCTAGTTTGTTGTCGCTCATATCGACTACTTTCAAAGATGCGAGCAGGTACATGGTTTGACCAAGAGTGCCTCGCAAGTTGTTGCTTGTCAGATTGAGCACCGCCAACCTCCCCTCATCGTCGCAAGAACTGTTGTTGCCGTGAGCCATATGCCACTCGGTGCATTCATCCGCGTCATAATCGAGCCAATTGTCGTTTCGGATCCAGTCATCACCATTTGTGGACCGGTACAATGCGGCTAGGGCAAACCTCTGGCGTTGTTTTTCGGTGGAATAGTTTGCAAAGTTGGGATCTCCCATGATCCAACTGTTTGCCCATGATTGAGGACTGTTTGGATCCTCCAGGTTTCGGAGTACTACCGGAGGCAGGTCACTCTGAAATGGTTCCTGCGGCTCCGGCGATTCCTGTGGTGCATTATCGTTTTGTTCCCGTTGCATCGCTTCGAAAAGTTCTTCTTTCTGCTTGACAATCGGTAAGAGAATTGCCAAGAGGACACACACAATGAGGATGACACACAACACAATCCGCCTGCAAAGCTTCTTGCTTCTCACGACATCACGGCACTGCAAGTCTGTGGTTTCCTCGTCGATTGGTTTTGCCTCCACAATCAACCGGCTATCGGGGGCGCTATTGACGGAGGTGCCCATTCTGCGAATTGAGTCGACCAAAGTAGCCTCCAGCATGATTTCGTCTTGAAAGTATGCTGGGACTGTTGGTTGTGGCAACTGCATACTACATGTAGTTCGTGTCATGGATGATTGATCCATTGGATTCTCTTCATCGTTTGCCAATGCCATGCTACCACTGGCAAGCTCAGACGAATCGGTAACGGCGCCATTCATGCCCGCTATCCGGACAGCTCCGGGCAGAAAGGGGAGCGGGGTTGTGGAGGAAGAAATGATACTGGCAGTAGCAGTTTTGGCTTGTTGCGGAACAGAACAGGGTAGCACGAGGTGTCGTGCAGGTCGCAGTCTTCTTGTCCTGGGAGAGCTTGGCAGGGGTTGTTGCTGATCTGCCTCATCTTCAATCTCTGTCTTGGACTCTTCTTCAGCTGCTGCATACTGTTGGTTATTGCACTCATCCCGAAGAACGTATTGTTGACGTTCATGAAGAAGTTTTCGCATGACACGAGCCTCGACCTCTTCTTCGATTCGTGTCACGTCCGCCTCGGACGCCACATCACGTACAGATTCCTTGACAAGAGCTTCTACTTCGGACTTTGGTTTTCTCGCCAAAGGTTCCATTATACTTCTTTCTTTTTTGTGGGCCTTGCTGTCGTTTTCAACGGTTTCCTTGCGCGGTTTTCGTGATGACAATGCCAAGAGCTGGTTGTCTACTTGTTGGGATCGAACAGATTGATTTGTCGGGTTGCTTTTGTTGGAAGAGGAGGAATCAGGGGATTGGGTTGGTTTGCTCCTGATGGTACTGGGAGTAGACCTCATTTCTGCCTTTTCTTCTCGATTGTCATCAGATTGAAGATTGTCATTTCGTGCATGGAGAGAGGAGGATTTGGGCTCATCATAACCTTCTTCATCCTGTGACGAAATCAGCACCTTATTATCAGCCTTGTCCATTATAATTGAGCACAGAACAAACAAGAGGGAAGGAAAACTTTGGAGTCAACGGAGAGATGGGCTTACTGGGAGGGTAGTTTATTGAAGGCAACAACAGGTATGCAGTATGGAGGACCCAGTCAATGAGAGACCCCACTTAAGAGGTTGCTAGTATCACCTTTCGCTCTCCCAACTCCCAAGCTTCCAAGCTGCCACCAAGCCATCAAGAGGTCAATGCGATGCCACTGGCTCTTTGTCGATTGTCCCGTCGCTTTGTTCTGGGTTCTGGTTGTTGTTTGCTTTGTGATGTGCTCAAGCGGGGCACGCTACCGGGCACTATTGGCCGTAAATTGGTTGAGCATGGGAGTATTGCTGAAAGTTGCGTTAAATCTTCAAGATCACTCGTAGTGGCTTTAAGCTAGCAATACCGCCATACATCTCTCCTGAATACTTGCTTTGGTTTCGGGGTGGCGGTAGAATTGACAAGACCACGAACGACGCGCAAGCTACGAATCCAGTTGCTCAAAGTCATCAGATACTAGTAGATGAGCCCAAAGCGAAGGAGCAAATTTCTTGGCCTGGCCCGTCACGGCGTCTTCAGTGGAGGCTGCCTCAAAGCAGACATTGTTACAGCGTACAAGTTTAGCCAAGATTGTTGCTACCGGTATAGGAATAAATAAGGTCACTGCAATGGCGCTACTTTATTCAGCACAGAGTTGTGCCTCACGAACATCCTTCTAGCAGCATGCTTTGAAAGCAGAGGAGCAACCAGCTCTGGCTGAGATGCTTCTGCCTGCTGCTATGCGATTTCGAGTTCGTACCTACCGGTATCTGGATATTGGTACGGGAATTTGCCGATTGGATCCGAAACTCTGAAAGCACTCGTACCGACTGCAAAATACTGGATTCTCCAAGCTCGAGAGGATCTACTCATCCCTAAGACAGTTATCCCATCTTGTTCGCCACACGAATGCTTGCAGTGCAGCAGAAGAGTACGATTTAGTCTAGCTAACGTAGTGTGTAGAGAACATAGTGTCTAGAATTACAAAGCAATCAACAGATGCTGTCCAAGCCAGCACACTGGCGGGGAGGCCGAGCTAGCAGCATTGAAGAGAAGAGGAGCAATCGGCTACGATCTGCAGTTGCTGTTCACTCTTGAGTTCACACAAACGTGCTGGAATCTTGCCCATGAGATCCGGGTTTCTTGATAGGTCAAGCCGATGCAAAGACTGGAGCTCTCCAAGCTCAACAGGCAATACTCCTTTCAAACCATTCTCACTAAGATCAAGCATGACAAGAGTATCAAACTCACAGACGGCGTTGTTTGCATGCCAGCCATTGAACCAGTGGCATTCATGAAGGCCATGATCCAACCAGGACTTGCTGGAGTTCCATTGCTGACCGTTCAGGGCATAATACACCAGAGCCATGCGGAAGCGCTGCAAGCTGCGGTCCCTGGAATGCTCATTCACCCCGAAATCGTTTCGAAGCCATAACAAGGCCATTGATTCTGGGCTGGAAGGATCCTCCAGGGCGGCGACTGTCTGAGCTTGGAGCTCGTCCAGTTGGAAGGGGAGGTCAGCGGCTACCACCGGGGTGGATTTTTTGGTATTTTGCTGGCCGTGCTTTTGGTAGATGCTGCTCCCGATGATCACGGCTTGGAACACTCCCATAACGAGGACAAAAGTGACTCCGAGCACCATCACTATGTGAGGAAGAGCTCCCACGTCTTCATCGGATCCAATATAGGAATCGCTGTCTTCCGCTGCAATCTCTTTGGCGACCTCTGCGGGAGCCGAAAGCTCATCCTTCTCTTGAAAAGAACTCGCCGAAGGAAGCTCATCCAAGGCTTCCTCAACATCGTATGACGCAGACTCAGAGAGAGCCGAGGTAGCGCTAGTGTGATCATCTTCCAAGGCGAGGACTCCGATGGTAGGCTTCATGGTTGTAAAAGTCTCAAGCTCCGGATGTGACAGAAATATAGCTGGGGATACGTAGACTACTGCTTTGGAAGCGCTTTTTTGCCTCCTTTGACTTTGACGGATCCAGTGTTTTGTGCGGGCAGGCCCAGGTTTCCCCCCACCCGAACAGAGAGGCTTGCTTCGGTACTGTACTACTGTAGACTGTAGCTAGCTATAGTAGCTGCTACATGTAGCTACCGGTATTTGACTAGCTACCGGTGGCTATCAGAGCCGCCAAGATTTTGTACCGGTACCATCCACACGTGCATTGAAATTAAAGTGGGACTTTGGATCCATTTGTACTAGATTCTCATTCAACATTACCAGTACTTAGAGGCCTAAGTTGTTCACTCCAGTCACAACTTCACTCCCAAGATATAAAGTCTGAGTTCGGCTTTATATCATATTAAAGCGTTTGAGTCACTCTTAGATCAGATCCGACCCTTCCTATTGCAGGCTTTTGGCGTCACTATAACCCGGCCAAACTAACTCGACCACTGGCTCTTCGGATGGTACGACAACTACTAATTTGCATGAAGGATAGAGGGGCAACCACAGAGATAGAAGGGCGCCCCAACACAAATATGCTCGTTGCGTCTTATAGGTCCTAAACGAAGGAGAATCTTTGCAGAAGCTGCATACACTTTTGGGATAGGTCGGGCCAGCCGAGTTCATAGCTCAGTCTGGCTAGCTAGCTAGAGAGTTAGTAGGCAGCAATGTGGGGGCGGGGCGGCTCTTGTCTGACTGCCACTACTGACCACAGCGCCCCGCTGGGCTGTTGGTCTGCCAGATTGAGCCCGAAACTACCAGCAACTGCTGCTATTCTCGCTGGACCAATCCATTTACAACGCCAGAGTTCGTGACGAAGAAGCAAGCAAAGGAAGCCTCAGCCAGTCACTAGACCTCTAGAGACTACCTTGGCTATTGGAGTTCTAGCTGGAAGTAAGCTAGAGAAGCCACAAAGGTTGCATGAAGAAAACGAGCTATCGCGAGCAAAGCGATCCTTATTAGCGGCCTCGTCCGCTCGGGTAGCCTAAGGGTGATGGAAAGTTGCTCGCGTGAATTGAATTGGGGTACTGACTGCCTTGTTCTTCGCCTTAGCTTACCATACCATACCTTACCTTACCTTGCCTTACCCTTGCCGCCAACCGCCAGTGCTACCTCTATTTTACATTTCTTCGGTACGCTGTACGGTAGAGAGAAAGATGCTCACAATTACAACTTACCTTTGCTAAGAGCAAGACGCGGGTCCTGACTCCAGACCAGGTCGTACCCAAGACGACAAGCCTGGCTGGTACCGGCCACCGTTGCCATCCTTGGAGGCATCTCAAAGGCTCCCTCCCAAGCTCTATCTTCAAAAACGGAACTGTTTGCACCTTCTTCTGTGTTTCGGCCGTCTGGGATTGTGGGAGGATGGATCGAAGGGGATTGTGAACGAGTGGTTGTGGTTTCCTTCATGCAATTATCAGTCAGCAACATTGCATGAAGGATTTTGATGCCACGTGCCTCCGCAAAAAGGAACGGCACACGTACAGTACTTTTTGAAGGTGAAAAAGGTCCGTACATGTATTTCATTGATGCTTCGTTTTTTGGCAGTCTCATTTGGGTTTAGGCTAGGAGGAGCTGGACGGACCCACGAACAGAGAATGTTTCTGAAACCATTGATGATCCGATTGAGCATTCAATCAATGGAAGGCAGGTCCATGGGATCAGCAAGGTGCAAACAAATGAAGCGAATAAGGTCCTGTAGGTGAAACAGTGTGATCTATTAACAGTATCTAATCTCTGATTCCAACTCCGTCTTGTTCCTTCTATTGCCAACATGAACTTGGCGCTCTTGGTGTGTTGTTTTGTTTTGTTTTGTTTTAGAACTCTCGCTCTTCGCATTCGGCGGTGTCGTTGCATCCCTCGAGCCACTCGAGGTTGGTGGCGTCGGCCCGCCGACAGCTCTGCCACCCGTTGCAGCTGTAGTCGGCGACGTTCTGGGCCTTCAGTTCGAAGCAGGCCGCGTAGTCGTTGCAGGCGTTGCTTCCGATCGTGGCCAGTCGGTTCCCGCGACAGGCGCCCAGCCCGTTGCAGGAGTCCCGGCCGATGGTGGTGGCGCCGTTGTTCTCGCACGCCCGGGTACCCATGCAGGATCCCAGACCGACGGTCTTGGTCCAGGTCCACACACAGGCGTCGGTGCCCACGCAGCAGCGGCCGTCGCAGGCGGCCGTCACCTCCGCCCCCGTCCCGGTGAAGGAATCTCGAAACTCGTGTTCGTCGCATTCGGCAAACTCGTTGCAGCCGCTGACTTCCGCAATGCCCGGGGCGTTGACGTTGTGACACGCCTGATAATTGTTGCACGAATCGTCGGCAATGGCCTGTCCGTCAAAGCCCAGGCAGGCTGCCTGCCCGTTGCAACTGTTCTCGCCGATGGTGGTGGCGGTTGCCACCTCCTGGCAGGCCCCGAGGCCGTTGCAGGAGTCCGGTGCGATTCGCTCCACGTTCGGTCGCAGGCATGCGGCCTGGCCATTGCAGCTCCCGGCGCAGACCTCTCGCTCTCCGGACCAACTGCACGCGTTCTGACCTTGGCAACAGTTGTGCCCTCCCGAGGTGCAGCTATTGGTCACGTCCTGGTCGGTCCCATAGAAGCACGCCGCGGCGACGGCACGACGATGAGTCAGATCGGCATGGCCGCCACCGCCGCGAAGATTCGTAGCGGAAGCAGCGGTATCCTCCCCCGCGGCGAGAGCTGTGGTGGCGCAGGAGGCCAAAGCGAATAGTTTGATGAGAGTGCTAAGGGGGCTCATTGTGTTTTGTTTCGTTCTTGTGTTCAGTTTGTGAGATTGTGAGCCCATGAAACGGTACCTGTTCTTCTATCCAGGGCGCCCTGCCCAAGCACATCTGGGGCCCCCTTGCTCGTTCGCTGGAGGTGGGGGTGTTTGTCACTGGTTTGCCTGGTCAACGTCAAGCGTCCAGTGAGATGCTTGTGATCCGTGACTGAAGATGGCAAGTCCCAGGACCCCGCCGGAAACCTCGGCTTTCCGCGCAGAAGACAGTCACAGCGCGCCATCATTATTTATGTGCTTGGTTCTTTTCCATTACGTTGGACGCACAATGTCTACCGGCATTGGAACCTAGCTAGCGATCTCAACGATTCTGGATTGCATTGGCAATTGGATGAGCTATTGGATGAAGGCCAAAAGGGGGCACAAGATGGATTCAATACCGGTATAATGTCCATATGCTACTGAACATTCAAAACTGGGCTTTAGTACCTACTAGCTACCGGTAGTCGCAGAGACACCAGTGGAGGTGGACGATTCTACCGTTGTTTCTACCTTTTCTTCTTCCTCCTCCACAGAGCGAATTCCCACTCGCCCTGCATTCAGAACTTCATGCAATGCCCGCGTCAAGGCTTCCTTCTTGCAAGGAAACGGTTTCATCATGAACGTATCTGCACCTGATTCCAGGAATTGCTCACCCATGTCATTGGCTGAAAGACCACAAATGATGCTCTGCACGCCTCGAGAACGGAGCGCTCGGGCTGTCTCGGTTCCCAACAATTGCTTCTCCACACTGGCCATGCTGGATTACCCACGTACAAGTAACGCAAACGAAAGTGCAATACAAACCAAGTTAGTACGCCATCGTGCTGCCAAAGACGGACTCCACCATGACAAGAACACTGCAATCCATGACTTACTATTGGTCAAGGAAGATCACATCGAACTGTCTCGTTTCAGTGATCACCAGCGCCGTTTCACCATTGGCGGCCTCCTCAACCTCCCATTGCGGGGCCACCCGTAGTGCTGCTCTGCGAAACATTTTTCGAATCATTGTGTCGTCATCCACTACCAGAATAGACAAGGTATCTGGCAACTCGAACGACGGTCCCGTTGATCCATTTATCATGGCGGCGGCCGCGGCTTCCCCTGCCATCACGGTGCTTGCTGGTTGTTGTCCTTCTGGTAGCGCTTCTGCTTCGTTGGATGATTGTTCTGGTTGGTGCTCTTGCAAGCTCTTCTCCATTTCCAAGGGAGGTTGATTCAATCGTAGCACAAACCGCGTCCCAGGACAGCCATCTACTCCACTTTGGAATTCTTCGTCCAGGCAAATGTCGGCGCCCATTAGTTCGGAAAGGTTTTTGCAAACAGCGAGTCCAATGCCAGTCCCTTGGTTGAGCGAGTCCAATGACTCTTGGAACTTTGCAAACAACCTGTCTCTTTTCTGCATTGGAATTCCAGGCCCTGAATCTTCCACATAGAGTTCCACCGAGTTGTTAACAATTGCTGCTTTGAGACAAATGTAGCCTTTGTCCACGAATTTCACTGCGTTGGCACTGAGATTCAACACTATCTGTTTCAACCTCATGCGGTCCCCATTGGCTGCCAAATCAGGAGGGCATTCAATCCGGATTTCCACCTTGGCACCTCTCATAAAAAGAATGGCAGCCACTGGATCCAGAATGTCTCTACGAATATCAATGGGACTCAGGTTGAGTTTGATTTGTCGACTTCGGGCTCTGTGGATATCCAACATGTTGCGAAGGAGCTGTACATGACAAAGTAGATTCAAGCACCTGTCAGTGCGTTTCTTCCGAGTGCATCAAGTCTATAGTCAGGCACCACATACGTACCTCATTGATGAACTGGAGACTTGCATCCATGACTCCGACATCTTCCAGGATGGATTGTTTGTGTTTTGGATTGGGCACATTCTCTGCTACTCCAACAGAAACAAAACTCAGTGCGGACATTGCAGCCGAGAGCGGGTTGCGAACTGTCACACAAGGACCAAGTCAAGGTTGATGATTAGAATCGAATCACTTGCTTCCCCATACGAATTGCTGCTTTTCTGTTTCACTCACCTTCATGGGCAATGAATTCTGTATCATCCAATAGCATGACATGCACACAAGTAAGTTGCTGAATGAGAAGAAGCCTATGCACAATCGTGGTGTTCTTTTTCCACTAATCACTACTCACCATTGAGTTGTCTCTCCTTCATGGCTTGAATGCGTGCAATCTCTGCCTTTTCGGCCTGTGCTCGCGACTTGATTCGATTGAGTTTGGTCACTCGACTGAGATGGGAATGGAACCATGCAGCACAAAACAAACTGGCCAAAAAGATGATTGTTCCTCCTAGAATAACAAATAGCAAATCAGCTTGATGATCGGTGGATACCACGACCATGGTCCACTTTCGGCCCGCGACGTCCAATTCTCGTTCAAAATAGCGACCGGGTTGGGGAATGTCGGTGAAACTGACTTCGGGCAATTCGGTAAAGGTGGGTTGGGATGATGATGATGACTTGCCGTCGTCATCGTCGGGTACGTCGACCGCCAAGGCACCTAGAAACTCGGACGATTCACCGGTACTACTGCTAGCAGTCGTATCGTACAAGTAGACTGTTTTGTCTTCGGCTGCAGATTGGAGTGCATATGCTAGAAAGGAGGGTACTCGGACAACAATTTGTGCCACCGAGTTCATGCGTGTAACGTTTTCGACGGAAGTTGGTACCCCGGGATGTGCCAGAATGACACCATAGGCATCGGAAGTATCCTGGAGCAGTTTCAATCGAGGACTGAGGACAGGCTTCCACGTGTCCAATGCAATAATGACATTGATGGAACTGGCCGTGGCTGTTGTTGTGAGTGCACAAACAAAAAGAAGAACAGAAGTGAGACATTTCTTTCAGCCCCACTAGCTAGCTAGCTTCCGGCTTGTACAATATATACCGGTGCATACCTGTGAGCTTGTCCAGCTCAATGATTGCTTCATTGCCTTCGACTGGTTCAACGTAATGAAGTGGCATGTAGTGGTCTGCCTTTGCTCTGGGTGAGAAGGTGGATCCTCCCTCTGGCAAGAAGACTTGTTCGGTAATGCCCGTGTAGTTGAAATGTGGATAGTACTTGACATAGTATTCTCTGGCTTCAGCTTCAAAGTTCTCTCGCACATCATGAGGAATAATGGGCAAATACTGCGACGCCAGAATGTTCCCGACGCCCTGTGCCGTAATATGTTCGTAGAGTTTTCGAAAGTCTCGTCGCGAACAATAGCCGAGGTGTCCGGCAATATCGTCTTCGGGTGCAATGTCGTAATTGCGTTCAACATGATCATGACAAGACTCGTGAATCCACAATCCAAACGTCTCGTAGGTGGACCATGCCGATAAGATGCGGTAGGTGATGCCTTCGGCGGAACTGGTAAAGCGTGCTTCCATGTCCGAGTTGGTGGCATGAACTCCAAAGGCCATGAACGCGACACTGGCAGCCGCGCCCAAGGCGGCAATCAAGGCCGTGAGCAACCATTTGGTGTTAACGACCGAGTTGCTGCTGTTGAAACTGCCCGTGGACCGATGATCGTCGTCGTCGTCAAATCGAAGGGAAGAGAGGGAGCCAGCAGAAGTCAGTTGTTGTTCCGGAGGACTGGAAGGCTGTTGTTGTTGTTGTTGTTGGGTATTCCTGCTCTTTTTGCGTTTCTTGGAGGTCCCTCCTTCGCGTTCCTTGAACCGCCTCAGTCCTTCCTCTAGCTCAATGGCAAACGAAGTCTCACTCGCCATGGGATTGAACTTTACTTCCTGTTGATCCATCATCTTATAAATAGTATAGCACTGATAGCTATCTTTTTTGGTTGGATTGATGCGCGTTTTGGTGGTTGTGAGGAAGAGTGTTCCCGCACCCACACAAAAAGAAGGATCTCTAGCTAGATTTCAGTTTCCAGACAGCTGACCAAGTCACCGTAGATTGTCGACCAATAGCCGTCGCTTCTTCTTCTTGTCTTTGGTCGATGCGAAGCCAACACTCACCGCAATTGCTTTGACGGATGATGCGCGTGGTAATAGCGTGCTCAAGAACTCTCTAAAGAGGTTCTCTCTGGAGACGGAGGACGATGCGATGATGCAACAAAAGCCAAGAAAACAAAAGCACTCTCTTTACATGGTGGCGGTGACCAGCGACAGTTGACGGAAAGAGCAGGTGCTGCTTTGGTGGTTTGGTGGCAACAGATACCGGTAGATGGAAGCAAGATTGTTTAAATCCCCTTGAACAGCTCTTGAACTCTCATTGTCCCTCGTGCTCTCCTGTGGCATTCTGGCATTATGGCGTTGATGATGATCGAAATGGGAAATGCCTCATAAGTAACATATTTAATATCATAGTTGCCGAAGGTCACCTAGAGGCACCGAGGACATAAAAGCAAATCTTGAAGTTGGCTCAGATACCGAATGGAACGTGCCTTCCGATTTTTTAAAGGGGAACCAACCAACCTATTAAATACCGTATTTTGGAGCATCTTTGGCCTTTGGCACGACAGCTCCTGACTGAGTGACAGTCACGCAATATCTTGCAAACGGTGCATGTAGAGTACTCGACTGAGTCGACTCACACATGCTCCAGTCTTAGACTTGATGCCACTGTGGAATCATTCCAAGATGCCATCGCTGGAATAATTCGCGAAGTTCGTACATGTACAGTACCCAATTGGATTGTTCATACGACAAGGGCCGATTAGATTATGGCAGACCAGACGTCCGGACTGCTGTGAGCTCACCAATAATTTTGAAACTCTGGGTTCGGGCATCGCAAAGGAACGAATGTAAAGCAAAACTGAAAGCTTCGGGCTGCTGCATCTTGGCTAAAGAAGAGCTACCTAGATAACATTATTCTTTATAACTGTGTGCGAACTTAATACACTAAAGTAGCTTGCAAATAGTGCGAACCGTTGCGGATGGGACTCTTTCTGGTTGTGGCACCATTCAGGATGCCAGGCAGGCAAACTCTCTGCTGAGCATGACTTAATCCACATTGGATCAGTGAAGTACTAGCTAGTACACTGTGTTGGAGAGCTTCTGGTACCCGTGTACCGGTGGCTTCCCAAGAGGTGACCAAGGTGGCTCAAGTCAAGGATTAATTGCTATGTGCACCTCTTCCCACAACGAAGGTTGATATGTTTCGTTGTTCCTGCTCAAAGTTTTTCCACATCCACAATCCATCAGCATCCCTCAGTAACTGTTTCCTTGGTTGTTGGTTTGGGTTGGGTGCTTCTATCGGCTTCAAGAACTAGCTAGCACTCCAAAGGCTGAGGCTTGGTGGCGGCTTGGCTACAAGGTACCGTACCGCCACAAGCCACAAGCCACAAGCAACGGTGAACAAAAGATTTGCGCGGTTCCAAGGAGCCTGGCCTCTGATACTCTTGCCAGTCAGCGGTATGCAGTCACTCCGGGTAGTGTGGATCTGGAGCTTCAGAGAGGTTCTCCTTGGTGCTGATTTAGCTGGAAGTCGGTTCGAAAGATCCAAAGAAATAAGAGAACTCCCCCCCTTGCTACACTGCCCATTTGCCCTTGGCTCTTTGCGTGAATTGCCATCCGAGATAAGCTAGAGCCAGTGTGCTTCCAGGCAACTTGTAGAGATTGTAACGTAAATAGAATGATCAGAAGTACAGTGACAGCTTTGTCCATATGTGACCAACCAGATGGTTCAACAATGATGCTAAATCTTCGAGAAAAGGGAATATACAATGCGAGATCCCGTAAGCGGTACTTTTTAAAAGAGCCTCTTCATTAGGATGTTCTTTTATTTCCATTGCACTGTGAAAACTATAATTAAAAGGCATGGACATCGACATTGAACTGTTAGATGTTAGAGACACCAGGAACCAGGAAGCTTTGAGAATCAGCAGATTTACCCGTAAAATACTAGTAGTGCAACCTTTAAGAAACCCAGTCACAAGGGCAGCAGCAAAAGCAGCAATACCGGCGGTAACCGACACACCGACACAACAACCACGAGATCGAAAGAGGTCGAAGAGAGAAATCAGATTGCAAAAGAAGAAGGCTGCTAGCTAGCTATTAATAGCTAAATACTTGTAGTATTGCTCGACGCTCCCTTATCCTGTTGCTGCCATTACGGTTAACTAAGAGAGTCGATTCATTCCAATCATTCATTCCATCTGGAGGAGGTATCAGGACGATGACAACATTCGCAGAAAGTGGTAGAACCAACTACGGTGAAACTGCCGTGTTATCGTCGAGCGATCTGGTGAATGGGGGTAGCAACCACAACAGGGGGGTTACTTCCATTGAGGACTCCAGTACTAATAGCAGTGTGGATACCCCTCTGCAAGGAGCGGACCGACAGCAGTCTGAAGACGAAGAAACGGCACCCCCAGAACCAGGCAAAGACAAGCCCGCAGCAGCGACCGCCCCGATTCCTGGTTCGGCTACTTGGTCGGCCACATCGGATGCAATCAACAGCTCCGCCAAGGCTACCGCAGATAGGAATTACGCCACGATACCTGGAGCAGCCTCGATACCCGGAGCAGCATCGGTACCCGGCGCCGTTGCGGCATCTCCGTGTACCTCCAAGAAGGAGAATCCCAAGATAATTGTCAAACTGGATACCAGTAGTAGCAAAGAACTGGATACTAGTAGCAAAGAGCTGGCTCCGGGTCGGAATGGAAGCCTAGGAGATAAGATACCTCCTCCACGCGCTGCCGTGCTTGGGAGACCAGTTCGAACACTGGGAGGGATGACGGAAGAGCAAGTGGGAATGGACTACAGTGCTGCTACAACGACGGAAGAAACAATGTCCAGTCAATCTGTTGAAGTCGACGTCGAATCCGGCATTGTGGCTTCCACTCCCTATCCACCAGAACGTCTGTCTGAAGAGCAATCGCAACAACCAGAGGCTGCTCCCGACGCAACAACCGCCCTAGAAAATAATAGTGAACGGGGACCAGAACCATTGGAGTTAATACCCCCTGCCGAGGACCAGTCAGCCACCCTCGACGTTTTTGACGACGAAGAAGAAGAGAGTCCTCGTGCAGAAGAAGGTGAAACGGACGAAGAAAATCCACCAGAACCCGTCGCGTTGGCAGACGATAATGGCTCGGAATCACTGAGATCATCAGCACAGGACACCACCAGTCCTTCTCCGCCCGCGGCGTTGGCACCTCCCGTCGAAGAAAATCCACAAAACAATAGCAGCAATAATTTCGGCGGTCATCAGGAACAGCAACGGCGAAATGGTCAAGATCCATTGCCTCTGGCGGTCCCCGTTCCAGAACCACCCTCCTTGAGACATGGTACGTCCTACGGATCCTATGGAGGATCCACCGTAATGTCGCAGGGAGTAGTGCAGGCACAACCCTTGGAAGATTGGACCGAAGAAAAAGAACGCAAAAGGTGTTGCTGTACATCCACCAATGGACGCGGATGGCTTAGCCCTACCCAGTGGGCTGTGGGAGCGCTACTGTTGGTGATTCTCATTGTGGTGGGTGTCGTGATTGGCGTCACACAGGCCAAAGATAGTGGCGACAACACAGACGATCCTTCGTATGGTGGTGGTGTCAACAATTCCACCAACAATCTAGAGAATAACGCCACCGAGATCGTTGAGACGACACGGGCACCGACGAACCAAGAGAATACGGCGGGCAGCCCTCCCCTCACAGACTGTCGAAAGTATCCGTCCTTCACCGATCAGCTTCATTTCCTGACACTGCAGGCACTCGATGATCGATGCAGTCCACAATCCAGAGCCAACACCTGGATGATGGAAGATCCAAATCGCGAGACCTACAAGTTTGAAAGACAGCTGCAACGTTTCTCATTGGCCACCTTGTATTATTCAACGTCGGGAGAAGCATGGAAGCAGAATGATCTGTGGCTCGATTATGAACAAGATGAATGCCAGTGGTACAATCAGGTGGACGAGGAAGCGGAAGGACCCATTTGCAATGAAGAGTCGCATATCATCAAGCTCAATTTGGCCCGAAATGACTTGAAGGGAGTCTTGCCGGTGGAATTGTTCTTCTTTCCGGCCCTCGCATCTTTGGATTTGTCACACAATGGTCTTTATGGGACAGCCCCGACCATGTTTGCGGGCGCAAGATATCTGCAACGACTGGTACTGTCATCGAACAGTCTCACCGGTCAATTTACTGCGGAATTGGGTTTCGTTGCCTCCAAGCTGTCCATCTTGCACAACGATGATAATCTATTCACGGGTGCCGTGCCTGGTCTTTTGCGGCTATTGCCAAATCTCCATGATCTGAATATTACAGGGAATCAGTACACTGGTGCGATACCCAACACCCTGGTGCAGCTGAGCAACACTCTGACCAATCTCGAAGTGGCGGCGAATTCGATCTCTGGCGTGATTCCAGCAGAACTAGGAATGACGACCCACTTGCAACGATTGGATGTTGGAAGGAATGAGGCCTTGGAAGGCACTCTCCCGACGGAATTTGCAGCACTGAAAAACTTGACCTCTTTGAATATTGCAGGCACAAGTGTCTCCGGATCACCTCCAGATGAACTCTGTGCACTGCAACAGCAAGGACAATTGGATCTCCAAGCAGACTGTGGCGGAGAGTTTCAATGCTGCAGCGTATAGAATGACTACACGGCCGGACAACTGTAGAAACTAAAAAGAATCTTGTCAAATTATTTAATGATTCATTATGCATTCTTCCAATTGCTTGAAAGGTCGTGACTGTGTTCAGTTAGTGCATTGCTCCCAGACCTACCAATGGCTACTTGGCTAGATACCGGTACTTAGCCAGATACCGGTAGATGAAGTTCAGGAGGAGGGCGGTGGAAGTCCAGCCTGTTTTGGGCATGATATTGAAACAGAAGACACATGTAGTGTTGAACCCAGCGCCAATGCTTTGAAACAGTTTCGTGCACAAAGGATGCATGCACATCGAGTTCCAGCCAACAGCAGAGCGAGCTCAGTCGAGCCATTGGAGGATTCATTCGGGCTCTGGGGGAGAATGAACGGGTTCATTGTTGAACAATCCTCTCCAAACAAATGGGCGCTGGCAATGGGCTGCCTGTGGACGCGGTTTGTACTGGTACGATTGGACAGAATCGAATCAATCTCCCAAAGAAATGAAGCAAAGTTGTCAGAGCTAGCTACCGGCACCGTTGTGAGGACGAAGTTTGGGTATGGTACCGTACCGGTACCTAGAAACGATGGTAGAGTCGTCGAACTGTACGTACCAGTGTCTCTCTAGCTAGGTACTAAGCATTCAATTTGAAACCCTTTCAGCCATGTCATTCATTCCCCCTTTACGACAGTGCTATTTATTCGATAGAGCTGCCGTGCACAACTCCTGCGTGAGTGTTCGTGCCAAAGCCGTGGCTCGAACCTTGGTTTTTTGGGCCACTGTGCGTCCTCAAGCCAGGCAGTGGCGCGAAAGCGCGGTTTTCAGAAGCGACCATGGCGTTCGGAGGCATTCCACCTGTTTCCTCTTGCAGCAACACATTCATTCTATCCAGCTAGCTTAGCTTGCCACCCAGCGGCCCAAAAATTTGGCGTTCAGACTCGATTGGATTGTTGGCCTCTGTAGCAATTAGTTCATCTACCTTCCTTTCGTAGACAGTCCAGCATCAAGATCTGTAATTGATTGAATTTTGGATCCATTTTGGTTAGCCGGAGCCTTTTGTTGACTTTATTTTTGAAGCATACAATCATAATCATGGCCGATCATCAACAACAGCAACAACCCCTCCGACCGGCCCTTCGACGTCCTGGTCAACCACCTCGCCAAATTCCACGTCGTGATCCAGAAGAGGAAAATCGCTATCCTCCTGGAAAAGTCATGTTGATTGCCTTTTTGGGTGGCGTGGCGTTGCTGTTGGGCTGTTGTGTGGCCATTCTCCAACTTCGCATCAATCAAGCCCATCAACGTCTGTTGGCGCAAAGCAAAGAACCCAAGGCTACCGACAGCAGCAACAGTGGTGGCCAATTCAGCAAGACGGTAGCTCCCTCTGATCCGACCCAACCGCAAGATTTATTTCTCTGGCAACAGCCACAATCTTTGCCTTACTCCGGCTCTTCGCGAGTGACGGCAGCACAAGCTTTCTGGAATCAATTTCGTGGCATTTCACCCGTCGAAGCCAAACAACAACATTGGAATCCGTTGGAAGAACCGTCTTTTGACTTTCGACGTTCGCTCACGTCCAATGACTACGAGCACTTGCTACTCAACAACAACAACAACGACAATAGTAACAACAACAACAATAGCATTGCCGAAACCAAATTCTTTGCTCTCCAACGAGCGGCACAATTGGGACATCCACAAGCACAGCATGTCTACGCCAATGCTCTCGCCAGTGGAGTCTTGCCCTTGCAGTATGATCAAACATCACTCTTGGACGTGGCCGACGATTTCCTCCAAACCCACAGTCACCAATTGCAAGAAGCCTGGTTGAATTGGCACATGGCTGCCATTAGTGGTCACGTAGAAGCGGCCATGGCATTGGGACATCGATACGAAACCATCCGACAGCAATCCAAATCAACGTCGTCGTCAACTTCCAAAGCCAAGCGTAAAAGCAGTAGCAACGCCGAAAAAGCCAGTTTCACTTGTCCGGATGTCTTGCCCTATTACCAAGCCGCCGCTCATGGCATTATGGATATTTTGGAAGCCAGTCCGCACAGCCGTGCCAAAGTATTGCCACCCATGGAAAAACATTTACTATATCAAGTCCATTTGCACGGGGGAACGTCGTCACAACTCGATTGGCACAACAAACCAGATGAATCCTCGGAAGCCATTCAATTTTATCATTTCAAGGCTACCCGGGCCGTCGATCCAGATCCGTCCGCCGCCATGACATTGGCTACACTCTATCATTACGGATATCGAGGGGTCGTACAGAATTTGACACTGGCGTTGCAGTACTACGATGTGGCCGCTCAAGCTGGATCCTGGGAAGCGGCAGGATTGGCGGGGTGGTTCCATGTATTTGGATTGGGAATGACGACGGGAAAAGAACGGGACTTGTTCAAGGCACACAAGTACTTTCGACAAGGACTCGCCGGTGGAGGACTCAAGGCATGTCAGGAACGAAATCAAAAGAAAAAGAGGTTCAAGGCAAATTCTCATCAGGACAGTGTCACGCAGTGTGACCCGGGGTGTTTGAATGGAATGGGATTATTGCACTTGTTTGGTGTGCCCCTGGCCGTGGACGTGGATTTGGATGATGCCATTGATTACTTTACTCTCGCCAAGGAAATGGGACATTCCGATGCGGCGTACAATCTGGCCATGGTGACGTTGGGATGGAAGAGTCATTACGTGCCGTTAGACGAGGCCTTGGAGAATGCCAAACAGACTACGGATAGTACCACTGGTGAGACGAAAGCATCCTTTACGGCTGTGGATTTACCGGATTTTATGGAGGATCCCTATCAAATGGCGGCAGGGCCATCGCAATTGGACATGCAACATGCAGTGCAGCAGCTAATGTTTGCCGTGCAAAAGGGACACTTGCAGGCTCGCCATCGTCTGGCCATGTTGTATGATACAGGAATACCCTTGTCGCAAGAGGACAAGTCGTCGTCGCGAGCTTCTCGGGGAAGTGGTAGTCGCAAAATGAAAGAAGTTCTGCCGCGGGATTGCGAAAAGTCATTGAACCATTACAAAGGCATTGTCGATCTTGCCAGTCCACAGGTTCTCCATCGCTTACGCAAAGCCTACAAAGACTACATTGCTGGAGATTCCGACGCCAGTTTGATCCAGTACATGAGCATTGCAGAGTTGGGAAATGAAATTGCTCAGGTTAACGCAGCCTTCCTCTTGGAACAAGGGACTTGTCTGGGGCTCTCGTCCACGGATTGTCACAAGGCCAGTGTCCGATATTGGAAGGCAGCAGCCGCGGCTGGAAACCCAGAAGCCTGCTTACGCGTCGGAGACTTTTACTACTATGGAAAGCTTCGAAATCCCGAAGATCCCTTGGGTAGTATGTGGGATCGACCCTTTGGCTGGGTGCAGTATCTCATCTTTCCCGAAAAATTTGTGTTTCCTGCTGTCTTTTCAGCAGTTCAAAGATTTGTTGAGGAGGTGACCGTGTTGATACTCTCGTCGTCAGAATCCGGCGAAGACGAGGGCGAGGAAGCGAAGGAGGGGAGCTGTGAAGCAAGCAGCGAGGACGGGACCTGTTCTGCTCCTATAGATCCTGCAGACGAACGCATGCATCAAGTGAAACAACGCCGAGAAGAGAACGAACAAGATTTGAAAATGGCGGCACATTATTACCGAATTGCAGCGGAGAAGCACTCCAGTCCCCGTGCAAACTTTAACTTGGCATTCCTGCACCAGTGGGGACTGGGTCTAACCCAAGACTTTCCACTCGCCAAGCGGCACTATGATTTGGCTGCCTCAAGTGTGGCCGCTTCACGCGAAGCGGATTTAGCAGTTCAGATTGCTCTGTGGACACTTGCATTCCACGAGTATGTGGTTCGGCTGGTGATGGCTTGGGAGGAGTACTTCTCGGCTGCCGCAGACGACGAAACGTCGACGCCGTCGATGGATTCTGGCTCGATCATGGAGGCAGTTCCGAAAGCAATCAGCAATATGATTGGCAAGCCTGTCCCAGGTGGTCCGACAGAATCCTCCACGTTCATGAATCAAGGGAATGCTAAGCTGACCAAGAAGGACATTATTTTGGCACATCTCTGGAGCTGGGAGTCTCTGGTTATGTTGATCCTAACCTACGTTCTGTGGATTCTGGTACAACGCACGAGACGGTGAGCGACAGAACTGATGCCTTTCCTCGAAGACATCAGACGGCAGTCAGCAACGGATAAAGCATATCGACATGCTTGGCGACCTGACAGTCCTCTTACTGGGCCCTGTCAGGGCTGAGGTTCGTCCCAGGCGATTGAGTGTGGCCTTGTTCACAAAGCAAAAACAACCAATCCACCATCGTTGCGGTGAGCATGCCTTCAGACCACAACCATCGCCATGATGACAATAGTTAGAATGTTGCATTTAAAACAATCATAGCGCGCAAGCTAGCAACAGTAGGCGATTCAGGCTTCAGTAGTAGAGAAGAGCAAGGTCGAAACGAGTGTGCGGTGTTATCGAAAAATGCAACTGAGTATATTATTCTCGCGAGCTACAGACTAGTTTCTATGTCCCATCCAGCAGCTTCCGCCTTAGATACTACCCGCTGCGCCGTAGGCCACCGGAATGGCCACTGAGAGAAGTAACACTAATGCTGCCACCTGTGGTAAACAATTCATGTATTCAAGGAAGCGAACTGGGTTAGATCTGTTTGGTAGTATTCCATCGCAGGAAACCAGCCCACACGCACACAAACCTACCATTTTCCAGATAGCAGGGGAACCGCCTTTGTTGACGACCCCCTCTTCTTTGTTGAATTTTGTGCCTTGTGGCGTTGGAATATCGTCAATAGAGGTGCGTGGGGTCTTTTCTCTCATGTAGTCCACGGAACCCTCTCCTCCCTTCTTCTCAAAAAAGTTGCAAAGTGTTGTTCGGTCTTCCTTAAAATCCATGAATGGAACGGCATATCCGCAAGATGTTTGCACACGATCCACGTGGTTGACAACGATCTGTCGGGTACCTGGTTTCATGTCATTCTGATAGTGCTTGGAGAGATAGGTGTTGAACTTGGGATGATCGGGAAGAAGAATCTCACCCTTGCCATAGAGGCGAAGAATCCTGGGTGCTCCCTCAAACGCACAAAACATGAACGTAAGTCGTCCATTTTCAGCTATGTGTGCCGAAGTTTCATTGCCACTGCCCGCCAAGTCCCTGTAGCAAATGGTCTTGTCATCGATGATGCGGAGAGCGTCATACCCTTTGGGAGAAAGGTTCACATGTCCATTGCCGCTCAAGGGAGCAGTCGCCACAAAGAAGACATGCTGCTTCTCAATCCATGCTTTGAAATCGTCATCTATACAATCATGTAGCTTCATTTTGTTTGTCTTTGTTGACCAGTGTTTTATGGAAAGGAATGGGACACAATCCAAGAGCTATACCGCTATCCAAGGATTCAACAGCAAGGTTTCGCTGGGTGTCATTCGTTTGGATGCGGCCGACTTCATTGAATTCGATGGATGTTCGAAAGGCTCCGCAAGTTCATTGGACGCATGACTGAAAGATACCGGTACCACGCCCACGTTTGAAGTACTAGCTTTGTTTGTCGCAATGATTAGTAGTTGTTATTTTTGTCTACTGCGCCGAGGGCTTGCTTTTACTTCATCTACAAATGACTAACAGAGTGCGAGACAAACTGCACCTCATCTGGTGGTTAAAAGTTACAGATTACGGGCGTGCACTGTAAGTGGCTCTAAGGTTGCTGCATATCAAATGCTTTGTAGAGATGTGAGTTATCTGTGGATGTGCACTAAGCCATTCCTGATTATCATCTCGACGAGTCTCATGTCTAAGCGCGTGTGTGTGACTGTTTGATGTGTTTAGGTGAGGAGGTGTATCCAACGTGCATCGCAGAGGACGATGATGCAGGGCTGGAATATGAGCGAGACGCCTGCTGGGGCGATATAGAAACTTATAATTTTTTGACTCGGTTCTGTCCTTCCTACTGTAACATATATCGTTGAACGTGGACGCCGTCTAGCTCTCCTCTCAATTTGTAGCAATCTATTCAGCACACATTCCTGAATTTCATACTCTGTCTAGTGATTGATTTGTATCTTTTAGATGGCGAGGTTATTGCGTCAGTGGTCTATAATGTACAGTCGGCTGATGGGAGTCTAACTCGCAGTGTTTAGAATTCCGTGGTGTACAAGGGGCGGGTACCCTAACAGGATACTATTATTTGAGACCATTCATTGCGCTTGCCTTTGCAATGAGTTTGTGGCTATTTTTGAACCCACCCATGTTCCACCAGAGAAACTTCAAGTTGCTACTTATCTGATTCGGTGTGGTATGAGCGTATTGTTCCGGAGCATTTACTTCAGCTTATCTCTGCGAGCCATTATTTTGTGCTTTTGGGTTTGGGGGTCAATACTGCTGATGTTCGTTGTGTATGGATGCAGTAGTCATCTTTGTGTGAGACTATCCTGTCGATTAGTGCGATTCAAGCAGGGATCATATCTGTGTCCGTGTTAGGGGTTCGGTTTTATATAGCATTGCTTTTTTTCAACATGTGGAGAAGACTCGTTAAAACCCGGTTCGGACTCACGAAAACGTGTTGATCCTGCTTTGAAGTTATATAAGGGGTGTCCTGTAATGTTTACAGAGAACACGAATGTTCCGAATGGAGAAGCCAATGGATCTCGGCTTTTTGTGAGAAAGGTGAATGTGAGGCATGGTTGCACCCCCATGGTTATTCAACTCGACAACGGCTGCAAGATTCGGGCTTTTTTCTCAGGTCAAGTCAAATCTATCCTTGTGGAACATGAAATGGAGACTATTATGCCACGTACTTTTTATGTAACGGAGCAAGACTACACTTTCAGTACCAGATGGTTTTATGACGGAGAAGTTGTACACACCAAGATGAAGGGTAAGCAGTTCCCGATTATCAGCAATTCTGCGACAACTGGACACAAATTACAGGGATATACTGCAGTGTGGTCATTGGTACATTCATGGCGATACTGTCAAAACTGGGCTTACGTGGTGTTATCAAGGGTGCGAACCATGAGTGGTTTGTTCTTATTGAAGAAGCTGGATTGGGATCCAAAGAACTTTGCCATGCCACAACGAATGAGAGACATGCTTGCAAGATTTAAGGATACTATTGGGCTTTCTGTCCTAGGAGAAGATCAATACGATGAAATGTTCCAGCGAGAAGACGGGTTCTTGTTATAAGTATGAACGGTAGGGATATAGGGTAAATTAATCTGTATATAAAAACTTTTATTACTACAACTACCTTTCTGAGATTCGCATTGCACCTCGTACGTCATTCAATGTCAGTCATTGAAAAAAGATCAAGCGTCCAATCAAATCACAGGCGACCCCGAAAAATTAGGAGCCAACTTTTAAAATGTGAAGAACGCAAGGCGACTTTCATGTGCATGTACATGCGTTGACTGTACGGACGCATTGAAAGAGTGTGGTAATGTAATTGGGGAGTGGAATAAATTGACCAGAAGATGTAAAAACATAAAAACAAATGCTACGGCCTCATTCCCCTTGTTGTTCTGCATGGGGCTGTAACATTTGTTTGGCGATTTTGTCACTTTCCTGTGGAGAACAAGCACTCCCCAATTGTCAACACGGCGTTTTGGACCGATTTTCGATTTTGAAACCTCCACCAGTTCAGTCGTGTATACCCTTCTTTCAGTCATGTTACTTAAGTAAATTGGTCATTTCGTTAAATATTTCCATTAAGCTGCCAAAAACCTTCACTTGTGGGTATATGGTCCGTATTATCTGTTAATGCTCTACTTTCAAATGGCAACTATAGGTTTAACACTCATCTCAAACAGATAACAGAAAAAAATAATGGCTAGGTCAACTTTGAATTTCTCATTACCCATACCTTTCAATGCGTCGGTATCCCGTCAATACAATACTAGTCGAATACGTAGACTTCTACAGGGCCTTCTAAGTAATGCGCGCCGGGTATAATTCAAACCTCTGCCCCCATCGGTACCATTACCCCTAAAGCAAATCGTCTCCAGGAGACGAAATACGGTGTGTTGCTTTCTTGATTTCGCAGAATTCTAACTTTCGGATTTCGGATTCCTCACAATTCCAACCTTTTAGATTTCTCACAATTCAATTTTCCGGATTTCTCACAATTTTAAGTTTTCCCTATTTCTCACAATTCAATTTTCCCTATTTCTCACAATTCCAACTTTTTAGATTTCTCACAATTCCAATTTTTTGGATTTTCCGTTTGGTACAGTACTGTACTGTACAGTCGTACCACCGGTGGTGGGGATCGAGAGCGCGCTGACCCAATTATTTTTATTAAACAATTCGCACAAAAGATCAAAAGATCCTTCCGACCTTTCGAGGTCGGAAATGCCAAGTGTAGGTTTGGGTTTTTAAGAAAAGCCGTGATCCGCCTTGAAAGAAAGCAAACGCCTTGACATCATTTTTCATTCCAAGAAGCTGCGCAGCAAGGAAGAGCACATCATACGGTATCAATGAATGAGTTGGCAAAACGCAAAATGAGCAAGACGATGTTTACATGCCTTCCATGTAGTGCCTCAAGTAGCAACTGTTTTGGTGCGAGTGCTGGTAACAACAACAAGTCTGTGTATTTGGATGTCTATGCCGGGACAAACTGTCCGAAAATGTACTTTTCCAAGACGGATGTAGCCCAAGATGGATGCACTGTTATTTGTAGAAATAGTGGATGCTACAAGATTGGAACGCATCGTTGCGCCGCCTGTGAGCACGAAGCCTACTGTTGCGAAGTCTGCCGCCAACAAGATCGAAAGCGGCACGAAGAGGATTGCCGACGATACACGACGACCGTACGGGTAGAACAAATGAAGAATTTTAATCGTCAAGCCAGCTGTCGAGGTCGAGGTGGTTGCTCGAATACCGTGGTCTCCTTTTGTCGGCACTGCCAAGCGACGGTGTGTCACCAATGGCAATGTTCCAAGATTCATTTGGAGCAATGCAATGCCTATTTGGAGGCCAAATTGGAGAGGGAGTGGGTAAGGATTGATCTACTTGTCAAGAAGAAGAACGACAGCTGTCGGCAAGAGATCCCACAGAATCGTGGGGGTAACGATAACGAAGCATGGGTGCTGGTGGACGGGTAGCCACATAATATTATATACTTGAGATCCAACTAACTAATGAAAGGCAAGGGATTGCAATCAGCAGCACCTTGGATGTCGGTACAGTACACTACCCCACTCCGAGTCAGTCGAGACGCGTGATACCCCTCGAAACCAAGCCATGCACGAGGAAAAATAAATACAATGCATCTTGGACAAGCCGATCATAAAAGATCCATCCGAAGAACCACGGCCTGTGCACACCACACTACACGAAACACCCACCATTCGTCATCAAATTTTTGTCAAATTTTTTCATGTAAAAGGAATAAGATTACCCTCTCGTTAGATTTGCAAAACTTTGGAGTTCTACTGCTGAGGTGGCTATCTGTAGTGCTGATTGATTATCCGTTGGTTTTGGCCTCTTGGATCATTTATGCATATGTTTGTCTGTACCACAGTAAATAGTCGGGTTTGTTCTTGTTCTTTTTTCATGTTGTTTCTATTGCAACTGACTATTCCGCAGCGCAATCAACTCTTGTTCCAATGCCACTGCTTCTCGTTGGGCCGCCTGCGTCCTGGCTTGTGCTTCTAGTACTTGCCATTCTTCTTCGGCGTCCATCATTTCTTGATCCATCAACAACAGGGAGAGACGCAATGTCCGAATGAGACTGAGTAGTTGCGATGTGGCCACACATATATTCTCTGTCGCTAGTTGACATTGCACCGAGCTCATGGTGACATCTGCCGCCAATGCCGGAGGAGGTGGATCTTGTGCTGTGGGCATGTGTCCTCCCGATCGAGGATCGGTTTGCCGTCCTTGTTCCAACGCCGTCACTGTGGATGCGGCTCGAAGGATACTCAGGTATTGCGTAGATAATCGATTGCAAGTGGCATTGAAGGACTGTAGCCAGTCTTCTGAGGGAGTTGCTTCGGCTTCAATTCGTTCCATGGTGGCTATCTAACTACTAGTAGCTATCTATCATAGATCTATCTTTGTCAGTGTTTGTCTACGCAGACAGACAGCTTTTGCGCGAAGTTGTCTCGTTGTGTCGGGTTTGGCTGCAATATTCAAAACCATTAACCCTAACTAACCATCCAAGTAGATGAATGCTGACGTTGTTGGGAAACGGGAAGGTGTCAATGCTCTTGACAACCCAAAGCAAAAGATCTGCCACATTATTGCCAGCGCAACAATAATGAGACCCTGAAAACCTCAATGAGACCATTGATGGATTGCAGCTGCTTGGCATCATCCGGAGTACTACACCAACATCTTTATCCTTTATTATATAGCTTCGTTAGATCAGAAACAATATCTCTCAATAGTCTAGCCAGTGTGAAGAGCCATTATGATATCTTTTCGGTTGCTGCTGGGATATACCCTTGCTCTTTCGTGGGTATCTTTGTCTCGTCATTGCCAATGCAGTGCCTTTTTGACCGGCCCTCCCACAAGGAGAGGCCATAGCGGAAAGATTGGCAGTGGGAACAGTAATAATGGTGGAAGGATCCCACCACCTCGAGCTGCCAACAGGCATGACGATTGGGCAGATGACGGGTTTTCGGACGAAGTAGTGGCATCCTCGTTTCTTCAACATAATAATGAAACAGACGATGCCACCACACAGCAACAGCAACAAATTGCCACAAACAATATGATCATGAGAGGTGGATCTACCAAACCACCACCAAAATCATCAGACCACGATCGAGTACTCAAGGGTGGAAAAGTCACACTGGCATCCACGGCGTCCTATTGGTCCGACGCTTTTGGAAAAGCAGGACAAGCCGTCACCAAACCCTTCAAATCCGCAGGACAAGCCGTATCGTCGCGCCTTCAGTCCAAAGAACAAAAGAAAGAACAAGAGTTACTGGACAAACTGGAAACCACCAAGGTACAGTCGGTCGTCATGGTACCCAACACCACTGTGGTGCCCAACGAAGTCGTCCAATTGGCAGCACGTCGATCCGGACTCATTGGAAATCCTCTTCGGACCGATCGAGTGCAAGATTTTGCAGCCTCGCTCAAGAAATGGTATCAAATGAGAGGATATATCCTTCACTCCGTGACGGGGGCTACGTTGAATACGGCGTCGGCCACGGCAGAAATTCAAGTCCAAGAACCACACGTGTCGAGAGTGCCCGTCGATATCACATTTTGTAAGGAAATGGTGGTTGATCCCGAAACTGGAAACATTCTCACTTTTCGACAATACAAGGAACGACATATGAAACGCAAAACGTTTGGTCACCGGTCGATTACCAAAGCCGACACAAATACTACCTTTGTCCAGACGACTGGCAAGACACGACCCTCTCGGATTGCGCAAGTCCTTGGCTTGAAGCCGGGAGCACCCTTTCAATGGGATGCATCCAGGTGGAGATCCGTGTCGAGCAGTGGCATTTTCGCACGCGTGCTGCAGGCTGGACCCCAACGAATGCAGGATGGATCCGTACAATTGCAAATCTTGGCGACCGAAGCACCACCAAGGCACTTGGAATACGGAGTGTCCAAATCTCTCTACACTGGGTCCTGGGAAGGGGAAGTCGACTTTCAACACGAAAACTTGCTAGGAGGAGGTGAAAGTTTGGCCTTGCAAGTCCGGCGAGGGACCAAAGATCCCGAACCCAGTGTGACATTGCGCTTTAGTGATGACAAGTTTGGCATGCCAGGTGGGTATGATGTTGAAGCATTTAGTGACTTTATTGGAGATACCGACGCAGAAGGTGGAACAAAGAAAGGAAAAAGCAAGAAGAGTGATAATGCAGAAGACTCTGTGGAAGACGAGACACCGCCATCCAAAGAGCCCAACAAGTTGCTGGATCGTAAAGGTATGAGATTCACCTATCGGAATCCAATTGAAACGAAGCGAATAAGGCACAGCAGCGCCAGTACGTCCTTGGAGCGAACAGCAACACAGTCGGGGATTCGAGAAACCATTGGTTGTGGCAGTCTGACTTTAGGGCCTTTTCGAAGAGAGCTACCACTGGATGCAAGGTCGAGTATTGATGGAAGATTCACTACTGGCTTGCGTGTCCCAGAAGGATCCGTCCAAGCTGAACTTTCTTCAGACAAAAACACGGAAATCCGCGGTGGTTCTACTACCTACCAGGGATTGACGTTGCTCCCATTCACGTCCTTTCGACTGACGACCACACAAGTCTTGCCGCTCTTGTCATCATCCTATTCTGCTTCATCCGCTGCCGAGCCTGAAAAGCAACCATCACTTGCACTTCGACACACGGTCTCAGGGTCAACGCGCAACCTCCCCCAGCATGAGCAGAATGCCATGGGATTCTCGTCAATGATTCGAGGAGGACAATCCAAGGGTGGCATCTCAACCTATGTCACCGGAGCCACCGAGTTGAGAATTCCTCTCAACATCATGGGCGGCAGCAAGAGAATCCAGAATCTACAACAAGATGCCAGTGTTGTCCTCTTTGGTGACTGGGTGTCAGCGCGGAAGAACAACGGATCACCGTTTGCCTTTGAAAAGTCAATCGGCGTGGGATTTCGTAAGATTGCACAAGGAATTCCCCTCAAAGTTGATTTTTGCTATGCTGGTAATGGCAAAATCAAATCCAATTTTGGGCTTGGCCGTGACTTCGACGTTTAACCAAAAACCGCATCGCAGCCAGCTTTCCACTTCGACGTTTAATTTAGCATGTACTTTAAAAAGCATCAGAGCTTTACTTCCTGCTAGTAGCAACCTGTATTCGTTCCGGTGGAGCGAGTTCTAAGAAATGGATCTTCAAGTACTAGTACTGCTAGAACGGCACCCACGTTGAATGCTCTCCCAGCAATCGCCGCCCTCTCGCTTCCTCGCAAACCAAGGTGGATACGGCACCTTTCGCAGATGGTTTGCCTGGCTCATTGTCGTCAATCAATGCCGTCGTAACCACGATGAACGATATTCTCGGAATATGATCGAGCCGAGACTAGTGCACTGGATAGTCGGACTCCTCCAACTACAAGTAGAAAACTCAGCAGCCAAAGGCTAGCTCAGTGATGCATCAAGCAACAGCATGATTGATAACAGAAGTTAAACGATGGCATAGTGCTCAACACAATGATGGACTACAACTGTATCCTGTTCTTGCTTGGCAACACCGTGTCCTCCATTATTTATTCATCACTTCCACTGTCATTGTCACCCTCGCTTTCGGATTCATCCTGCTTGCTGTTATCATCGTCACTCTGTTCCTCCTCCTCCATGGACATGCCAGAAGCGGCACCGCCTCCTTGCCTCAGCGCTTCCATGGTGGCCTGTTCCCGCTCTTCTTTTCGTTTCCTCTTGGCCACTCTCTTTTCGTCTTCTGCCTTGCGTTTTCGATCCACATTACGTTGTTGTTCTTCTTTTCGCTGTTGCTTCAGGTTTCGTTCCCGATCTTTGCGTTCCTTTAATGCCTTGGCTTCCTCGGGTGTCTTTTTCTCATAGGCATGAAACATGACATCCCCACCGCCCAATCCCTTTTCCACCTTGATGAGCTCGAGGGATAGCCTCGGTCCTAATTCAACCAATTTGAGGGCACTTTTTTGTGATTTGACATTACCGCCATAGGATTGTGGCAGGACCACTTGATGCTGAGGGTCCTCTTCGGCTTCCGAGTCACTGACATCGCCTGTAGCTCCGGCTTGTTGTCCGGTAATATAGTCCGCAATGTCTTGTACCTTGTTGAGGTTTGGCAATTTGCTTTGAATCAGACGTCGTACTTTGCGATTCACTCCCACGGGGTTTGCCTTGATGGCATAATGTCGTATTTGGACGCGTTGTTTGATAACCGTGCGAGTTGTCGTCGTTTTGGTAGTTTTGTCATCATCTTTGGAGGATGATTCTTCTTCCACTACTTCTTCGTCTACCAAATGAAACAAGACGACACGCCGACAATCTGCCAGTCGCACCGATGCCACATTAATGGCAGGGAACATATTTTGAAAAGTAATTCGCAGCAATTTGATTTGTGGTGGTGCCGAGGCATCTCCAAAATTGTTGGTAACGACAATGGGTGGATTCTGATGCAGTGCTCTGGCATTGTCTGCCATGGGTCGTCGTTGTAGTGACTTGATGTGTTTATTGAGTGAGAATTGCGTGACTCGAAAGGTAATGGTGGGTCCTTCGGGGGTCCTTGCCAAGCGCAGATTCAAACGGGTCTCATTTTGCGTAAATGCCATGATGTGAGTAATCCCCATGGGCAATGCCAGCTTTTGACAGTATTTTTCCAGAGTCAATTTTCGATTCCGGGGATCTTCTTGAAACTGCAAGGCCGTGTAAGGGAGCATTAGTTTGCGCAAATCTTCCACCAATTCGGCCACTTCGTGTTCGGTCTTGCCACGACGAATCACCAGAGACTTGGGGACTTTGGTTTCTTGCTTGTTGGATACCAGCGCATTCTCAGGTTTGCTTTCTTCTAAATCCTTGACATGAGTCCGGTTCTTCTTGCGACCTCGTCCTTTTTTCGGCATGGTTATTTATTAGCCTATCCTACAGTAAAGTAAAGAGAGTTACGCTAATCTGCTTCAAACTTTGTTCCTTTCGTGGGGACAAAAAAATGAGACTGGTGTGCCATTTTAAAATAGTGTGATCTTTTGGTTGGTGCCGAAAGGATTACGGTCTGCCCTTCAACCTTGACTGATTGAGTCGAGTCGATCGAGTCGAGTCACTAAACCCGAGGACTCAATTCCGAGCCTGCCTTCCAGTTTCAATTTTGACCCTTGGATTTTGGCGCAACACGAATTCGAACTTTGCATCAACCTCAGGACCTCTGTGGAAACTCGAGTCGTGGTACTTTTCGTCTCCTAAATCATTTTGATCGTCTCCTATTTAATGGATTTCGTCTCCTAAAAATAGGAGACGAAACGGATCGTCTCTTAAATCTTTTGTCTCCTCTTAAAACGTCTCCTATTTTCAACGGATCGTCTCCAATTCTAAACGGATCGTCTCCTAAGTGTACCATGTAAACTGTATGGTATCGTCTCCTAAATCTTTCGGATCGTCTCCTATTTCGAAACGATCGTCTCTTAATTGGAATGTCTCGCCCCCCTTCCACTGATTGGAATGACTGGATTCCTTCTTCATGCAGGAATGAAGACTGAAGAATGGTAGAGAACTGACAGATCGAAGATGATTGGTTGGTTGGAGGAAATTGCATGCTGGTTGCCAGATGCATTCCTTTGTTGAATGGTTGGAATGTTGGATTTTAAAGTAACATCGCAGGGAAGGAGGTTTGAGACAAGAGGACACTTCTTCAGCAACAGGTGCACCTACTGGCTCAGCCCTTTTAATTTGGACAGGGGGTTGTTCTAAACTCTGCTTCGGCAGTAGTTTGGCTCGACTGCGTCGGCAGTCGAGAGTTTGGCAACTGTCGGGGGGTGAGCTGAGGCCTCCCGCTATGGAGATTGGTCTCCATCTCCTGTCTTTAGTGGCCATTCAGTAATATTGACGCCCTAAAGACTCCATGTGTCATCCCTCTTACAACTGGAACGATCCATCAAGGAAGCAACACTGCCTCTGAACACAGCATGAGGGGACAACGTGGTGGCTCCTCACAGTTCAATGACGCCTACTTGGCTGACTATACGTGAATGAAACCAGCTTTGTTGGCCATGGTGTTTCTCGTTGGGTTTCGACTTGAGGGATGGGAGTCTTTTGTCTGATTAGAGTCGACGCAGGTGATTTTGATGCCATGCACCTGGTATCACATGCATCCGAGATACATGACTCTGCTAGGGCCAGAGACTACAGTATCTGAATCATGAGTTTTGAATTTCTTTTTCCACCCTCAGGCTGCCCGTCTAGCAGCCTACTGAGAGACATGGCTGTCCGAGGATAGCCGGGCGCAATTGAAATTTGATTTTATTAAGGATTGCATTGTGGATGGAGATCAGTATTGCACTGATTTTGATCCATCTATGAACAATCACTACTTGGTTCGGGGCGACCAAGGAACTTGTTGCTGCGGATGATTGCTGTTTGGTTTTGGAAACGCAACAAGTGTGACCCATCACCGAATGTGCCACACAGCGATGCTCGCTACGCCCACTCGGCAATGTGGTCAGATTCTGGTGGAAGTTCCTCAGCAGCGGCATGGGGTATATATGAGACGTGCGTGAAAGGTTGGGTTGGCTTTTAGCCGGCTGGGGGTATGTGCCATGCTTTGGGGCTGAAGAAAGTTACACTTCAGCAACTACAAACTCATAGCTATGGTTACTTGAATCCCTGGGTCAGTCATGGGAACGAGCCGGAGGGCTGTGGATACCACTAAACCCATAAGACGATACATGTTTACCTCTCTATGTAGCCTATTGACCTATTGGCAGTCCGCCGCTGGCCTGAGGAAGGAGTGAATGGAGTGACTACGCTAAAAGCTAGTGTAAGATCTTTCAGTTTTTGAGTTTGAGAGAATGAAAGTTATGAGAGATTAGAAAGCTATGAAAACTAATCAACGAGAGAGATCATCATCAAAGGATCGTAGATCTGGCTTCCCGGGAGACTATAAAGTGTGATAGAGTAGGTTGTGTAGTAATCCTACGTCTCTCCACGATCCTAAAACGGAACGCGTGGAAGGTTGTCTAGCCTGGATCTAGTAGCGTGGAAGTACTCACGCTGGCTAAATTATAGAGCGATGTTTCCATCAAACTAGTATGACTAGCGGTCATTGAGAACCTGGTCTCAATGACTATTCACAAGAGACTCGGTCATGATCGAACTCAAACCCTATCTGAGATCGAGTGCGAATAAAGCTAAAGACGTGTATTGCATTCGCCCCCTTGACAAGGGTACGAAGGCCGACATCAGTCGGACAAGGAGAACATATGATTAAAGTGCGGGGCACTCTCATGAGATTTGGATGTAGACATGTGCGTCGCACGATGGCAATCCTACAAGGGGATCAGGCCTTGTATGGGTGTATATACCTTATGTTCCAAGTCTGTAGACTGTGCCGCCGTTGCGGTAGCATGTGGAGCCGTACAGTGCCATTGTCATTGACTCGGTTATAGTGTAAGGACTTTGTACTTTGGCTGACCGTACTTGCGGTGCTGATATGTTGAATCATCATAGTTGTTGACATTGTGTTGATGAGGACACGCGTTGCGTTTTCCCTATCGTTGTTTTTTTGGATTAGTCGTTGGCGACGTTCCTTAATGTACTTCCAAGTTGGCTTCGAACCGGACGTTTGTGAATCGCGTACGATTGAACACGAGGCTGTGCGGCGTTGCACGCAGGTGGTATGGATCGTGGCATTCATTGCAAAGCGAACCGCCGTGAGGACTCCATCCAGGATCCATTCACGAGATCGTCTTGGCACTTGATGTTTTGAACAGCGATCAAGTTGCGTTGTTTGATGAGCACGCTCTGACCATAGAGTTGTGTGTAGGTGAACGCGTGTGATGAACTTGCGACGAAGTCCATATTCATCCCGGAGTGTCTTCTCGACCTCTGCGTGAACTCACGTCCTCTATCCATGATAACCTCAGCAGGCAGGATACCGAGTAAGCCACGTTTGTTCTAGGACGTGGCTACTTTCGTCTGCTGCCTTGGGAGCAGATCTCTGCAATCTCGAACCATCGGTTCGGGATCAATCATTGTCAAGCAATGAAGTGTGCAGGAATCTTTTTTTTGGGATCCCCGACGTTGTAAGGGCTATCAGGTCAATACAGTCTTTCCAAGGGATCTCCTCGCAAGACTTTGGAGGAATCAAT